GAGGTAACCTTTTCCTTACAGATAAAGGTAAGGGGGTATTTAGAGGTAACCTTTTCCTTACAGATAAAGGTTAGGGGGTATTTAGAGGTAACCTTTTCCTTACAGATAAAGATTGGGGGTATTTTGAGGTAACCTTTTCCTTACAGATAAAGGTAAGGGGGTATTTAGAGGTAACCTTTTCCTTACAGATAAAGGTTAGGGGGTATTTAGAGGTAACCTTTTCCTTACAGATAAAGATTGGGGGTATTTTGAGGTAACCTTTTCCTTACAGATAAAGGTAAGGGGGTATTTAGAGGTAACCTTTTCCTTACAGATAAAGGTTAGGGGGTATTTAGAGGTAACCTTTTCCTTACAGATAAAGATTGGGGGTATTTTGAGGTAACCTTTTCCTTACAGATAAAGGTAAGGGGGTATTTAGAGGTAACCTTTTCCTTACAGATAAAGGTTAGGGGGTATTTAGAGGTAACCTTTTCCTTACAGATAAAGATTGGGGGTATTTTGAGGTAACCTTTTCCTTACAGATAAAGGTAAGGGGGTATTTAGAGGTAACCTTTTCCTTACAGATAAAGGTTAGGGGGTATTTTGAGTTAACATTTTCCTTACAGATAACGGTAAGGGGGTATTTAGAGTTAACATAAACACTTGCTACACTCAACAACAAACCTGTGTAGTGGAATCTTCCCTTAACACTCTGATAATTTTACTGCTCTCACCAATTACTGACCTCGTTATGACAAAAAAATGCAATATAGGCTAAATAGGATGTGTCTATGCTGAAGTCTGAATGATCAATCGTATTAAATAGAGAATAATTATATGTGAGAGAGGAATATGTTATTAGAAATAACTAAACATAATGATAACTTTGCTTGCTCGTTAGAGAGTAATATATTATTATTAATATAATGATAACATTGTTTGTTTGTGAGTGTAAAATGTTATCATAATTATAATGACAATGTTGTTTTCTTTCAGGCTGTAGAAACCGTGAAAACAAATTTTGAACCCCGACCTTGTCCTGAGAAACGTCCTTATAACAACCCACTCTTGACACATCTGGACACACCTGAAGCGAAACAGGTACCAATTTCAAGCAAACATTTATTAGTTTCAGTTAAATCGTTTTTTCAGGGAGTATTATGGCCTTCTTTCTTTCAGCATCCTTCCAACAGTCTGTCTGACCATCCTTCCATCCCTCCCTCAAGCAATCTGTCCAGCCATCTGTTCATGCTTCCAACAGTCTGTCTGACCCTCCTTCCATCCCTCCCTCAAGCAATCTGTCCAGCCATCTGTTCATGCTTCCAACAGTCTGTCTGACCATCCTTCCATCCCTCCCTCAAGCAATCTGTCCAGCCATCTGTTCATGCTTCCAACAGTCTGTCTGACCCTCCTTCCATCCCTCCCTCAAGCAATCTGTCCAGCCATCTGTTCATCCTTCCAACAGTCTGGCTGACCATCCTTCCATCCATCCCTCAAGCAGTCTGTCCAGCCATCTGCTCATCCTTCCAACAGTCTGTCTGACCATCCTTCCGTCCATCCCTCAAGCAGTCTGTCCAGCCATCTGTTCATCCTTCCAACAGTCTGTCTGACCATCCTTCCATCCCCCCCTCAAGCAATCTGTCCAGCCATCTGTTCATCCTTCCAACAGTCTGGCTGACCATCCTTCCATCCATCCCTCAAGCAGTCTGTCCAGCCATCTGTTCATGCTTCCAACAGTCTGTCTGACCCTCCTTCCATCCCTCCCTCAAGCAATCTGTCCAGCCATCTGTTCATGCTTCCAACAGTCTGTCTGACCCTCCTTCCATCCCTCCCTCAAGCAATCTGTCCAGCCATCTGTTCATCCTTCCAACAGTCTGTCTGACCACCCTTCCATCCTTCCCTCAATCAATCTGTCCAGCCATCTGTTCATCCTTCCAACAGTCTGTCTGACCATCCTTCCATCCATCTCTCAAGCAGTCTGTCCAGCCATCTGTTCATGCTTCCAACAGTCTGTCTGACCATCCTTCCATCCCTCCCTCAAGCAATCTGTCAGTACAATTAGGAAACCTCTGCTGCTGTTTTCAGGAAACAAAGCATGGCTTGGGTTATTCAAATCATTCTGTCGACTTGAACGGTTGTTAATGATGATAAAAAAGGATATTTTGATATACAGTACAACCTGTTTAAACCGGATGTCACCGGGATCAAACTTTTTGGCCGGTTTACACAGGTGTCTGGTTTATACAGGGTCGTCATGTAATTTTTTGAAAATACAAAAATGTAGTGTTTTGCATTCAATCTGTATACAAGTGTGTCAACATAAACAACAGAGAAATGAATCAGTTGCAATGTTTGATTATTTACAAAATATACAGTATAATAATACAAATGAAGACCGACCCGACATTGGATAGCGCTTTTTTGTTTAGAATGTGTTTGCTTTAGATTGTAGCTGGCCGAAAGAAATTTAAGGACCGGAATAAACTGGTTGGTTTTACATGGATTTCTATGCCAACTTTTGTGAAACAATGCCGGTTTTCGGAATAAACAGGGTCCAGTTTATACAGGGTTTAACTACTATGATTATATAGGGAATATGCCGGGATCACAAATCAAAGCTGGTTTAGACAAGGGTCTGGATTAGACAGGGGCTGGTTTAGACAGGTTATACTGTAATTTGTAAGATTTATACACTTTCAGTCTTTGAAAGACTTCTTTTTCAGTAATCTTATTATTTGCAGGCTAAAATTTTCAACCCAAATTACAAAGTAATGAACAAAAAGAAGCTTATGAAAAAGATGAGGAAAAGATTTTTATTGGAAAAAGATGAGTTTGTGGCCCTGACACCTGTGGTTAAACTTAAGGGAGAAACAACATCCAAACAAGCACAGGTAAATATAGGTACCGTAAGATATTGGCCTAAATACAGGTAAATATAGGTACCGTAAGATCTTAGCCTAAATACAGGTAAATATAGGTACCGTAAGATCTTAGCCTAAATACTGGTAAATATAGGTACCGTAAGATCTTAGCCTAAATACAGGTAAATATAGGTACCGTAAGATCTTAGCCTAAATACAGGTAAATATAGGTACCGTAAGATCTTAGCCTAAATACAGGTAAATATAGGTACCGTAAGATCTTAGCCTAAATACAGGTAAATATAGGTACCGTAAGATCTTAGCCTAAATACAGGTAAATATAGGTACCGTAAGATCTTAGCCTAAATACAGGTAAATATAGGTACCGTAAGATCTTAGCCTAAATACAGGTAAATATAGGTACCGTAAGATCTTAGCCTAAATACAGGTAAATATAGGTACAGTAAGATCTTAGCCTAAATACAGGTAAATATAGGTACAGTAAGATCTTAGCCTAAATACAGGTAAATATAGGTACAGTAAGATCTTAGCCTAAATACAGGTAAATATAGGTACAGTAAGATCTTAGCCTAAATACAGGTAAATATAGGTACAGTAAGATCTTAGCCTAAATACAGGTAAATATAGGTACAGTAAGATCTTAGCCTAAATACAGGTAAATATAGGTACAGTAAGATCTTAGCCTAAATACAGGTAAATATAGGTACAGTAAGATCTTAGCCTAAATACAGGTAAATATAGGTACAGTAAGATCTTAGCCTAAATACAGGTAAATATAGGTACAGTAAGATCTTAGCCTAAATACAGGTAAATATAAGTACCGTAAGATTTTAGCCTAAATACAGGTAAATATAGGTACCGTAAGATCTTAGCCTAAATACAGGTAAATATAGGAACCGTAAGATCTTAGCCTATTGTTTGCTGGGTTTAGTTGCTCTTGAATTTATACAATTAAATGGTTGTGGCATTCATTGAGGTTAAAGATACCAAACATACAGCATTGTTTATAAAATACAATTGTATTTTTAGCTTACCTGGTCCGAAGAACCATGGTGAGCTTATGCCATACCGCTTCATCTGTCGTCCGTCAACTTTTCTTTGAACGGCCAAGTAGACTTCGACTAAATTTGGTCTAGAGCATCCTTAGGCCTAGGGGACTCAGTTTTGTATAAATGGTGGGTGTGGCCCCCCTGGGGACAGAGGGGCGGGGCCAAAAGGGGAAATAGAGGTAAAACCTTTAAAATCCTTCTTCCGTCATAGGGATTAAGGGATGAAGGGCTATCAAGTTTGTTCAAATAAATGACCTTGATATATATTCAAGGTCACAGGGGTCAAATATGTTTAAAACCTTCTTCTGTCGTAGGGATGAAGGGCTACCAAGTTTGTTCAAATAAATGACCTTGATATATATTTAAGGTCACAGGGGTCAAATATGTTAAAAACCTGTAAATAACTTCTTCTCAATAACCAAAAGGCCAAGGGTACTGATATTGGGCCTGTAGCATGCTGGGATGAAGGGCTACTAAGTTTGTTCAAATGAATGACCTTGACCCACTTTCCAGGTCACAGGGGTCAAATGTCTTAAGATCTTCAAACAGTTTCTTCTTTCAAGGTCACAGGAGTCAAATATGTTAAAATCTTCAAACAACTTCTTCTCAATAACCAAAACGCTCAGGGTACTGATATTGGGCCAGTAGCATGCTAGAATGAAGGGTTGCCAATTTTGTTCAAATGAATGACCTTGACCCACTTTCAAGGTCACAGGGGTCAAATGTCTTAAAATATTTAAACCACTTCTCAATAACCAAAAAGTACAGGGTACTGATATTGGGCCTATAGCATGCTGGGATGAAGGGCTACCAAATTTGTCCAAGTGAATGACTTTGACCAACTTTCAAGGTCACAGGGGTCAAATGTCTTAAAATCTTCAAATGACGTCTACTCAATAACCAAAAGGCCCAGGGTACTGATATTGGGCCTGTAGCATGCTGGGATGAAGGGCTGACAAGTTTGTTCAAATGAATGACCTTGACCCACTTTCAAGATCTCAGGGGTCAAATGTCTTAAAATCTTCAAACGACTTCTCAATAACCAAGAGGCCCAGGGTACTGATATTGGGCCTGTAGCATGCTAGGATGAAGGACTACCAAGTTTGTTCAAATGAAAGACCTTGACCCACTTTCAACCTAATGACCTTGCTCGACATTCAAGGTCACAGGCGTCATATGTTTAAATCTTTTAATATGTTCTTATGAATCAAACACTGATTTTCTGCCTGTAGCTGTATTGTAGTCCACTTTTAAGATAACAAGTGTGAGATTAATGCAGGCCCGGGCATTGGGCCACTTGTTCATGAGTGTTCTATAATTAATAAATTTTATTTTTGTATTAAGCACGTTATTCAATTTTAATAGTTTAGCACCTTGAAAGAACATTGGACCAAGTGCCTCACGCTGCTGTATCGACAGTCCTTTATGAACAATGAGGAAAAACAAACTTTTAAAGGTATGGCGTTAAACTTTCGGTGACCATCGAGTAGATATTAATTAATCATTTAATAACAGATTCTGATTCTGCAATCACAGCTCGTTTCCTTCTCTCTACTGTAAAAATTGTCAAAAAAGATTAGAAGACTTTCAAAGTGATCTAGTTGTTAGGTCACAGTGGTTAAATTGTTCCAAATGTATAAATGATGTTTACAGAAAGGCAGAGGTCCAGTAGGATAAGTGGATATCTAGAAGCAGTGACTGAGCAGGAATTTGCAGACATGATTGTGGAGGTAGGTATCAATGAGCAGCTCGGCTCGCAAATGCATGTTGTCTTGAGAAAGTTGTTGGGAGGAGCTATGCATTGTTACTCATGTTAATATCTTACCTCGTCCTTTTTGAATCATCACTCAAGCCACTTAATTTTTAACAGATTTTTAGTGCAACATCATCGTGGGTTGTTCAAATCACCTTTTTTCCCTTGTCTGTGTTGTACATGTATGTGACTGTGGGGATAATGATAGGGACTTTTGTAATGGTCTTCATTACAATTAGTGCTGTACTTGTTTTCTACAGTAAATATCTTAATTGTAAAAAAGTTATTTAAACTTTCCATTATTTTAAACTAGTTAATTTGACATTTGAAAGTTTAACAATTAAATAAACATTTTCCATATTTAAAATGCTGTGGAATTCTTGTTTTTATTGCTATTTCTCAAGAAGTACTCGACAGATCTAATAAAATTTGAAGGATCCCTTTGGTCTATAATTTTGGCTCTTAAATAATGTTGTTAGCCCTTCTCCTTCCCAAAAATTTCGTCGATTTGAAAGATACTTGGTAGCCATAATGCTGATACTAAAAGGCTGTAAATTAAGTATGTAGGTAAATTGAATGGAATTACGTCCATTTGTTTTAAAACGTTGTTCACACTACTTTTTTATGTATTAATTCCATTTGAATGATACTTTTAAACATAGAGTACCTTCATCAAAAGGATATTACTCTATTTATGCCCCTTTGTTTGAAAAATGTGTAGGCATTATTCTTAAGTACACAACACATTAATTGTACACATAATGAGAGGATAAGAATGAAGTACATGTTTGAGTTGATAATAATAATAATATTAATTCGAGGTTCTTGTATACCACTTTATCACAATCTAGTTCATAGGTTGTCTCAAAGCGGTTCACAAATTATTATCCTGGTTATAGGGCCTTTCCAATCAGCCAATATCTTTCTCAACTCCCTAGGGAGCAAACAGCCAGTGCTGACATTTCGGCGCTCACAGCTAGCATTCTACAATTCTAGCACTGCCCAACCACGTACTCAATTACTGCTGAGTAGACTGGAACACGCGGAGTAAAGTATCTTACTCAAAGATACAACACAGTGCCATGCCGTGACTGGAACCCGCAACACTTCAGTCACGAGCCCGGCGTCCTACCACTAGACTTATGTGCCTCTTCTCTGGTTTGAATGATGTTTTGTACACAAAAGCCTTGCATAGAGAGCATCCAGAATAAGAGTAGCCTTCCCTGATTATGGAGTTATGCATGTCTCATTATTTTTAAAACATTGTTTGCACTTCTTCTAAAGCACTGCACCAATTTTAATGATAGTAAATACTACGTATACAGAACCCTTATATAATGTGGATGTGGATAAAGTATGGAATTTTGCCCTTTTGTGAGAAGAAACTTATCAAAAGAACTATTCTGATGCTTTTTGATGTGGCAGGATGTGAATAAGTCTACCATTGCGGAGACATTTTTAAGATCAAGCCATATTTATATTAACTACTCTTAATTGATTAGACCATTATATTAGTAGCACTAACTACTCCAATTGATTAGACCATTATATTAGTAGCACTTACTATTTCTAATTGATTAGACAATTAAATTAGTAGCGCTAACTACTCTAATTGATAAGGTCATTATATTAGTAGCACTAACTACTCCAATTGATTAGATCATTATATTAGTAGCACTTACTACTCTAATTGATTAGACCATTATATTAGTAGCACTAACTACTCTAATTCATTAGACCATTATATTAGTAGCACTTTCTGTTTCTAATTGATTAGACCATTATATTAGTAGCACTAACTACTCTAATTGATTAGACCATTATATTAGTAGCACTAACTACTCGAATTGATTAGACCATTATATTAGTAGCACTTTCTATTTCTAATTGATTAGACTATTATATTAGTAGCACTTACTATTTCTAATTGATTAGACCATTATATTAGTAGCACTTACTATTTCTTATTGATTAGACTATTATATTAGTAGCACTTACTATTTCTAATTGATTAGACCATCATATTAGTAGCACTTTCTATTTCTAATTGATTAGACCATTATATTAGTAGCACTTACTATTTCTTATTGATTAGACTATTATATTAGTAGCACTTACTATTTCTAATTGATTAGACCATTATATTAGTAGCACTTTCTATTTCTAATTGATTAGACCATTATATTAGTAGCACTAACTATTCTAATTGATTAGACCATTATATTAGTAGCACTTACTATTTCTTATTGATTAGACTATTATATTAGTAGCACTTACTATTTCTAATTGATTAGACCATTATATTAGTAGCACTTACTATTTCTTATTGATTAGACCATTATATTAGTAGCACTTTCTATTTCTAATTGATTAGACCATTATATTAGTAGCACTTACTATTTCTTATTGATTAGACTATTATATTAGTAGCACTTACTATTTCTAATTGATTAGACCATTATATTAGTAGCACTTACTATTTCTTATTGATTAGACTATTATATTAGTAGCACTTACTATTTCTAATTGATTAGACCATTATATTAGTAGCACTTACTATTTCTTATTGATTAGACTATTATATTAGTAGCACTTACTATTTCTAATTGATTAGACCATTATATTAGTAGCACTTACTATTTCTTATTGATTAGACTATTATATTAGTAGCACTTACTATTTCTAATTGATTAGACCATTATATTAGTAGCACTTACTATTTCTTATTGATTAGACTATTATATTAGTAGCACTTACTATTTCTAATTGATTAGACCATCATATTAGTAGCACTTTCTATTTCTAATTGATTAGACCATTATATTAGTAGCACTAACTACTCTTATTGATTAGGTCATTATATTAGTAGAACTAACTATTTCTTATTGATTTGACCATTATATTAGTAGCACTAACTACTCTAATTGATTAGGTCATTATATTAGTAGAACTAACTACTCTAATTGATTAGGTCATTATAATAGTAGCACAAACTAAATTATGTATGTCTAATTGTTTAGGCCATTATACAAGTAGTACTTATCAGCCTTATCGTTTTTTTTATAAAATTTCAGATAGTTGAACTGCTGTTGCGAGATTCTCTCCATACATGTCAATGGACACCCAGACAGTTAGCAAGGACTATAGGCAAACGATTAATGCAGAAAACCCAGTATTTCTACAGGGAGAAATATGGAATCGTAGAGAAGGTACTTAACTCTTAGTTCTTGATAATGCTTACAATTGACCATGTAGGGAATGTAACCTTTCCACTGGTTAGTAATCCTTTTTTCTTTGTTAATAGACAAACACATATGATGCTCTTCTGAATAGTATTGCGGATGTAAAGAGATGAGCTATGTGTGACTTGTCGTAAGTGAGTTTGTTATGACAAGTGAGGGCACATGCATTCATGTGCGTATCAAATCAGCCTAATTTAGATAACTGGATTCATATCTAGGTCACATTACATGTAAGGTACTGAGGTCAACACAAAAGCACTTTAGATATATTTTGAAATGATGGAATAGATAAAATCAACATGCGTTTGTACATTGCGATGGAATTTATATAACTTAATATTCAAAAGTGTTTGAAAAATATCATACCCAGGGTATTGTTGAACATGCAATACACATGCACATTGCTTGTACTACAGGACCAGCTGATCCAGCCATACATGACATATTAAGTTTGATTGATTTGACTGTACATATAATCGCAACTTTAAATGTTGCATCTCTCTTAGTGTGTTAAGAACAATCCGTAACATTCCCAATAGAATACCAGCTCTGGAAATTTCTTAGACCTAGAGTGATTAGCCCGTATCAGCCTCTTGATCTAAAGCCTTTCGCAGCCCCAGAAAGTCTCTAGATCTAGAGCACTTCACAGCCCCAGAAAGTCTCTAGATCTAGAGCACTTCACAGCCCCAGAAAGTCTCAAGATCTAGAGCACTTCACAGCCCCAGAAAGTCTCTAGATCTAGAGCACTTCACAGCCCCAGAAAGTCTCTAGATCTAGAGCACTTCACAGCCCCAGAAAGTCTCTAGATCTAAAGCCTTTCACAGCCCCAGAAAGTCTCTAGATCTAGAGCACTTGACAGCCCAATACAGTCCTTAGATCTAGAGTGGTCAGCCCTAATCAGTCCTTAGATCTAGAGTGGTCAGCCCTAGCCAGTCCTCAGATCTAGAGTGGTCAGCCGTAATCAGTCCTTATATCTAGAGTGGTAGGTCCTAGCCAGTCCTCAGATCTAGAGTGGTCAGCCCTAGCCAGTCCTCAGATCTATAGAGTGTTCAGCACCAGTCAGTCCTTAGATCTATAGAGTGTTCAGCATCAGCCAGTCCTTAGATCTACAGAGTGGTCAGCCCCTGCCAGTCCTTAGATCGATATAGTGGTCAGCCCCAGTCAGTCCTTAGATCTATAGAGTGTTCAGCATCAGCCAGTCCTTAGATCTACAGAGTGGTCAGCCCCTGCCAGTCCTTAGATCTATAGAGTGGTCAGCACCAGTCAGTCCTTATATCTATAGAGTGTTCAGCATCAGCCAGTCCTTAGATCTATAGAGTGGTCAGCACCAGTCAGTCCTTATATCTATAGCGTGTTCAGCATCAGCCAGTCCTTAGATCTACAGAGTGGTCAGCCACTGCCAGTCCTTAGATCTATAGAGTGGTCAGCACCAGTCAGTCCTTATATCTATAGCGTGTTCAGCATCAGCCAGTCCTTAGATCTACAGAGTGGTCAGCCACTGCCAGTCCTTAGATCTATAGAGTGGTCAGCACCAGTCAGTCCTTATATCTATAGAGTGTTCAGCCCCAGTCAGTCCTTAGATCTATAGAGTGGTCAGCACCAGTCAGTCCTTATATCTATAGAGTGTTCAGCCCCAGTCAGTCCTTAGATCTATAGAGTGTTCAGCCCCAGTCAGTCCTTATATCTATGGAATGTTCAGCCCCTGCCAGTCCTTATATCTATAGAGTGATCAGCCCCTGCCAGTCCTTATATCTATAGAGTGTTCAGACCCAGTCAGTCCTTATATCTATGGAATGTTCAGCATCAGTCAGTCCTTAGATCTATAGAGTGTTCAGCCCCAGTCAGTCCTTATATCTATAGAGTGTTCAGCCCCAGTCAGTCCTTAGATCTATGGAATGTTCAGCCCCAGTCAGTCCTTATATCTATAGAGTGTTCAGCCCCAGTCAGTCCTTATATCTATGGAATGTACAGCCTTAATCAGTCCTTAGATCTATGGAGTGTACAGCCTTAATCAGTCCTTAGATCTATGGAATGTACAGCCTGAATCAGTCCTTAGAGCTATGGAGTGTACAGCCTTAATCAGTCCTTAGATCTATGGAGTGAACAGCCTTAATCAGTCCTTAGATCTATGGAGTGTACAGCCTAATCAGCCCTTTGACAGCTTTAATTAGTCCTTTATTCTAGAATTGTCAGCCAACGTAAGTCTTTCTCAGTCCTAAGATTAAGAGCACTTGCATGCATTGCTAGCCAAAGTTATCCCTTAGATTTAAGTGATCAGCCCTAGTCACTACTTTGATCTACGGAGGCCCTTACGCTGGTCAGTCCTTTGATCTGAAATAATCAGCACTAATTAGTCCTCAGATCTATGGAGGCCCTTGTCAGTCCTTTGATCTAAAATGGTTAGCCCTATTCAGTCTTTAAATTGAGAGCATTTACAGCCCTGGTCAGTCATTAGACCAAGAATGTTTAATTTGCCCAGTCAGCCTATAGGTTTAGACTCTTTGATGGGCCTGGACCTGACTCACAGTGTCAGGGTATCTTGTGTCGGACCTATCCAAGGAGAGTCCGAAGATAGTGTTTACCGGTATTTCACAAGAGCTTGTGTTAAAAGACTAAAACTATTGAATATTTACATCAACAAAACAAAGAATTACATTAAATACAAAAAATACAAAAAAATATACTCCTTGTGAAATGAAAAATATTTTATCGAGTACATGCCTGGATGGTGAAAGCCATAGAACTTTCAGAAATACATGTTAATCCTTAAATTTTGCTAGTTTTTAAATAATTTAAATTTTGATTATTTTTTTATGTTCTTGAAATAGTTTTTTTCACAAGTATTTCATTATTTGATTTAATCTTCCCCAGGTTGGTGTAGTATATAAGGAGTATGCTAACACTCTACTGAGTGAAAGTCACATGGATGGGAACCACCGTGAGATTTGGGAGGCTATCTGTAACAAGCATATGGAGGGACCCACTCTGGTAAGTAGGACCTTACTCTCTCTTCAAGTGCTAAAAACTTGTTCACAATATATTACACCCACAATGTATCAACATTAGACAATACTTGATTTCTCCTATTCAATTGGATCCATGGCAGGGTCTGTTTTTATCAGATACCATGATTTTAAAGTCTCCAGGTGCCTCTTTTTTTTTTTTTTTCAATTTGAGCGATCACTGATGTTAAAATATTTTCATATTAACAGGGTGTTCAACACAGACTCTGGTCGAAGGAAACACAGCTTTGGGTAAGTATGGACATTGATTGTTTGGAAATTAAAGTTTGGATGTCCAGCACTGTTAATGAACCAATCACATGCTGCCTTTCACATAAAACTTGTCTTAATAGAAAGAACGTAAGTGTGTCAGAACAAAGGCCTGTGGTTGTGTACTCTTTAAAGTCCTGTGGTTGTGTACTCTTTAAAGGCCTGTGGTTGTGTACTCTTTAAAGTCCTGTGGTTGTGTACTCTTTAAAGGCCTGTGGTTGTGAACTCTTTAAAGGCCTGTGGTTGAAGGCCTGTGGTTGTGTACTCTTTAAAGGCTTGTGGTTGTGTACTCTTTAAAGGCCTGTGGTTGAAGGCCTGTGGTTGTGTACTCTTTAAAGTCCTGTGGTTGTGTACTCTTCAAAGGCCTGTGGTTGAAGGCCTGTGGTTGTGTACTCTTTAAAGGCCTGTGGTTGTGAACTCTTTAAAGGCCTGTGGTTGTGTACTCTTTAAAGGCCTGTGGTTGAAGGCCTGTGGTTGTGTACTCTTTAAAGGCCTGTGGTTGTGTACTCTTTAAAGGCCTGTGGTTGAAGGCCTGTGGTTGTGTACTCTTTAAAGGCCTGTGGTTGTGAACTCTTTAAAGGCCTGTGGTTGTGTACTCTTTAAAGGCCTGTGGTTGTGAACTCTTTAAAGGCCTGTGGTTGTGTACTCTTTAAAGGCCTGTGGTTGTGAACTCTTTAAAGGCCTGTGGTTGAAGACCTGTGGTTGTTTACTCTTTAAAGGCCTGTGGTTGTGTACTCTTTTAAAGGCCTGTGGTTGTGAACTCTTTAAAGGCCTGTGGTTGTATACTCTTTAAAGGCCTTTGGTTGTGTACTCTTTCAAGGCCTATGGTTGTGTACTCTTTTGAATATCTTACTGTTTATTACAAATGTCTTATCTGACACCCTGTGGGATACAAATACATCAGATTTACCTGCCTTATTTGACACCCTGTGGGACACAAAACATATGATTTACCTGTCTCATCTGACACACTGTGGGACACCTCAGATTTACCTGTCTTATCTGACACCCTGTGGGACACTTAAGATTTACCTGTCTTATCTGACATCCTGTGGGACACAACAAAACATCAGATTTACCCGTCTTATCTGACACCCTATGGGACACATTATAACATTTACCCATGTCATCTGACACCCTGTGTGATACTAATACATAAGATTTACCTGTCTTATCTGACACCCTGTGGGACACTAACACATCAGATTTACCTGTCTCATCTGACACCCTGTGGGACACATAATATTTACCTGTCTTATCTGACACCCTGTGGGACACATAAGATTTACCTGTGTCATCTGACACCCTGTGATACTAATACATAAGATTTACCTGTTTTATCTGACACCCTGTGGGACACTAACACATCAGATTTTCCTGTCTCATCTGACACCCTGTGGGACACATAAGATTTACCTGTGTCATCTGACACCCGTGGGATACTAATACATAAGATTTACCTGTCTTATCTTTCACCCTGTGGGACACAACACATCAGATTAACCCATCTTATCTGACACACTGTGGGACACATAAGATTTACCTGTCTTATCTGACACCCTGTGGGACACAACACATCAGATTTACCCGTCTTATCTGACACACTGTGGGACACATAAGATTTACCTGTCTTATCTGACACCCTGTGGGACACATCACATCAGATTTACCCATCTTATCTGACACCCTGTGGGACACTAACACATCAGATTTACCTGTCTTATCTGACACACTGTGGAACACATGATTTACCTGTCTTATCTGACACCCTGTGGGACACAACACATCAGATTTACCTGTCTTATCTGACACCCTGTGGAACACATATGATTTACCTGTCTTATCTTACACCCTGTGGGACACAACACATCAGATTTACCCGTCTAATCTGACACCCTGTGGGACACATCACATCAGATTTATCCATCATATCTGACACCCTGTGGGACACTAACACATCGGATTTCCCTGTCTTATCTGACACACTGGAACACATACAATTTACCTGTCTTATCTGACACCCTGTGGGACACTAACACATCAGATTTACCCATATTATCTGACACCCTGTGGGACACTTACACATCAGATTTACCTGTCTTATCTGACACACTGTGGAACACATACAATTTACCTGTCTTATCTGACACCCTGTGGGACACATACAATTTACCTGTCGTATCTGACACCCTGTGGGACACAACACATCAGATTTACCTGTCTTATCTGACACCCTGTGGGACACTAACACATCAGATTTACCCGTCTTATCTGACACCCTGTGGGACACTTACACATCAGATTTACCTGTCTCATCTGACACCCTGTGGGACACTAACACATCAGATTTACCCGTCTTATCTGACACCCTGTGGGACACTTACACATCAGATTTACCTGTCTTATCTGACACCCTATGGGACCCATCAGATTTACCTGTCTTATCTGACACCCTGTGGGATGCAACACATCATATTTACCTGTCTTATCTGACACCCTGTGGGACAACAAAACATAAGTTTTACCTGTCTTATCTGACACCCTGTGGGACACATACATTTTACCTGTCTTATCTGACACCCTGTGGGACATGTACATTTTACCTGTCTTATCTGACACTCTATGGGACACATAATATTTACCTGTCTTATCTGAGGCAACACATCTGACATAAGGACGATAAATGACCCTAATATTCTTGACCCCATCGGAAACACTGATTTTTAATTTCTAATTCTAATTCTGAAATTTACTGTGATTTCTTACTTGTGCAGAAGAAATTGATCTGGAAATCTGGTTACTTCTCAGTGGAGTTATTTAAAAGATTTCAGCATCAATGAATGTGATTTCAAATCAATCAACTTGTCAATTTTGGGTATAGATGTTTTGATACTCAGTTGTTTTGGTACATATTTTTGTTTTTACTTAACTTTTTACTTTTGCTTAATATAAGAGCCTACTCTTGTTGCCAGATCCCTAACATCACATTATTTAAAATTTTATATTATGTACTGCATATTTGTAAATAAAATATTGTTTAAACCAATGGCTGCTGTGTGAGGTCTATCTATTATCAGATAACAAAAATAAACAGTAAGGGAGATTACTCTTACAAAAATTGTGTATAATGTGTTGGGTAGCATACATCCTTAATTTCTGATAAATTTAATTTGTGATCTTTGTAAAACTAATGGTACATTTATAAATTGAGAAACCTGCTTGTATATATATGAAATATTTGATAAGTGATAGACAATTAAGAACGTATTTTTCATTAAAGGTTGGGTATCGCGTCCAGGAGCTTATTATGAAGGTATTGACCGTCCATGTATCCAAGAAGGAGGACAACAAAACAGTCAGGTAAAAGGGGACGCATGTGTACTGTATTTTGGTAATTTCCACCTCCCTCCCCCTACCCCCAATAATGAGCGTGGATTTTTTATTACGGTGAACATTTGTATACAGTATAATATACATCATTATTAAATATGAAGGGCAAAATCAACATTGGGTGAATATGGATTTCATCGGTTAAGGACAGCAGTTTGACTGGGCAAAAAGTTTCCAATGGACAGTATCTGCCCTTCATTGTACTTATATTGTCATTGTGAGACTGGAACAATAGGATTTGGCAGAGGTATATAATTTTTCAATGCATTTAATGTTAGCTGTGTATATTTTGATTATGTATTTATTTCTGGTATTCTGGTTCTCTCCTTCCTCACATGTGATGTGAAATATAAGTACAGTGGTCTGAGATACGTTGTAGTCTGAGATATGTTGTAGTCTGATATACGTTGTAGTCTGAGATATAGTGCAGTCTGACATGTGTTGTAGTCTGAGATGTGTTATAGTCTGAGATATATTGTAGTCTGAGACGTGTTGTAGTCTGAGATACGTTGTAGTCTGAGATATCGTGCAGTCTGAGATGTGTTGTAGTCTGAGATATATTGTAGTCTGAGATGTGTTGTAGTCTGAGATGTGTTGTAGTCTGAGATACGTTGTAGTCTGAGATATAGTGCAGTCTGAGATGTGTTGTAGTCTGAGATGTGTTGTAGTCTGAGATATATTGTAGTCTGAGATGTGTTGTAGTCTGAGATACGTTGTAGTCTGAGATACATTGTAGTCTGAGATACGTTGTAGTCTGAAATACGTTGTAGTCTGAGATATTTTGTAGTCTGAGATATGTTGTAGTCTGAGATACGTTGTAGTCTGAGATACATTGTAGTCTGAGATACGTTGTAGTCTGAAATACGTTGTAGTCTGAGATATGTTGTAGTCTGATATACGTTGTAGTCTGAGATATAGTGCAGTCTGAGATGTTTTGTAGTCTGAGATGTGTTGTAGTCTGAGATATGTTGTAGTCTGAGATACGTTGTAGTCTGAGATACGTTGTAGTCTGAGATATGTTGTGGTCTGAGATACGTTGTAGTCTGAGATACATTGTAGTCTGAGATACGTTGTAGTCTGAAATACGTTGTAGTCTGAGATATGTTGTAGTCTGAGATATGTTGTAGTCTGAGATACGTTGTAGTCTGAGATACGTTGTAGTCTGAGATATGTTGTAGTCTGAGATACGTTGTAGTCTGAGATACGTTGTAGTCTGAGATATGTTGTAGTCTGAGATACGTTGTAGTCTGAGATACGTTGTAGTCTGAGATATGTTGTAGTCTGAGATACGTTGTAGTCTGAGATACGTTGTAGTCTGAGATATGTTGTAGTCTGAGATACGTTGTAGTCTGAGATACGTTGTAGTCTGAGATATGTTGTAGTCTGAGATACGTTGTAGTCTGAGATACGTTGTAGTCTGAGATATGTTGTAGTCTGAGATACGTTGTAGTCTGAGATACGTTGTAGTCTGAGATATGTTGTAGTCTGAGATACGTTGTAGTCTGAGATACGTTGTAGTCTGAGATATGTTGTAGTCTGAGATACGTTGTAGTCTGAGATACGTTGTAGTCTGAGATATGTTGTAGTCTGAGATACGTTGTAGTCTGAGATACGTTGTAGTCTGAGATATGTTGTAGTCTGAGATACGTTGTAGTCTGAGATACGTTGTAGTCTGAGATATGTTGTAGTCTGAGATACGTTGTAGTCTGAGATACGTTGTAGTCTGAGATATGTTGTAGTCTGAGATACGTTGTAGTCTGAGATACGTTGTAGTCTGAGATATGTTGTAGTCTGAGATACGTTGTAGTCTGAGATACGTTGTAGTCTGAGATATGTTGTAGTCTGAGATATGTTGTAGTCTGAGATGTGTTGTTGTAGTCTGAGATACGTTGTAGTCTGAGATACATTGTAGTCTGAGATATGTTATAGTCTGAGATATGTTGTAGTCTGATATATAATGCAGTCCGAGATATGTTGTAGTCTGAGATACGTTGTAGTCTGAGATACGTTGTAGTCTGAGATATGTTGTAGTCTGAGATACGTTGTAGTCTGAGATACGTTGTAGTCTGAGATATGTTGTAGTCTGATATATAATGCAGTCTGAGATATGTTGTAGTCTGAGATACGTTGTAGTCTGAGATACGTTGTAGTCTGAGATACGTTTTAGTCTGAGATACGTTGTAGTCTGAGATACGTTGTAGTCCGAGATATGTTGTACTCTGAGATACATTTTAGTCTGAGATACATTTTAGTCTGAGATACGTTGTAGTCTGAGATACGTTGTGGTCTGAGATATGTTGTAGTCTGAGATATAATGCAGTCTGAGATATAATGCAGTCCGAGATATGTTGTAGTCTGAGATACGTTGTAGTCTGAGATACGTTTTAGTCTTAGATATGTTGTAGTCTGAGATATGTTGTAGTCTGAGATGTGTTGTTGTAGTCTGAGATACGTTGTAGTCTGAGAAATGTTGTAGTCTGAGATACGTTGTAGTCTGAGATACGTTGTAGTCTGAGATATGTTGTAGTCTGAGATATGTTTTAGTCTGAGTTATGTTGTAGTCTGAGATACGTTGAAGTCTGAGATATGTTGTAGTCTGAGATGTGTTGTAGTCTGAGATATGTTGTAGTCTGAGATTGTTGTAGTCTGAGATATGTTGTATGTTGTAGTCTGAGATGTGTTGTAGTCTGAGATATGTTGTAGTCTGAGATGTGTTGTAGTCTGAGATATGTTGTAGTCTGAGATGTGTTGTAGTCTGAGATATGTTGTAGTCTGAGATATGTTGTAGTCTAATGTTATAAATGCCATTTCTTTTGATCATTTCAGCAAAGAGGAACCAGCATTTTTTGAAACAACCAATAGAAACGTTTTTGGAAAGAATTTGACCTTTTTAATGGTAAGACCTTTTCTAATAATCGACATCAAGTTCTTTTTAAAACAACTTTGTACAAAGACTACCAAGAAACCTGCTGATGCATTTATTCATCAAGATAATGAAAGTATGAAAGTTAAAACCAAAACTCGCATCATAAAAGTTCATATTCCCCACCGCAAAGTTTTGTGGGGCATATAGGTTTACCCTTGTCCCTGTCTATATCCCGACTGTTAAATTTGTGGGTTAAAGTCAGTTTTATAAGCTGAGTACAGCCGCTAGGGTCACTCAACTTAGCATGCTAATGTGCCTTTCATGGCCTTGACCTTTGAGCATTGGTTAAGTTATTTCACCCTGCGCCCGTGGTCCGTCATTTTGTCATTCTGTCCGTCCTTAAACAATTTTTGTTAGCGCTATTTCTCAGAAAGTACTGGAGGGATCTTTCTCAAATTTCACATGAAGGTCAGTGCCTGATTTGAAGGCTGGCCACGAAAAAACCTTTTGGGGGCCCGAGCAAGACTTCAATCACCGATGGCGAGTGGGCGAATGTTTATTTCAGGTACTGAAGGTTCCCCATGATCCCTAGTTCTGCATATCGTATTTTGGGACTGATCGCAAAAACTAAGATTGCCGACAAAAAGCCATCTTGAATTTGAGAATGAAAGTTTGTTAGCGCTATTTTTCATAAAGTATTGGACGGATATTTCTGAGACTTCACATATAGGTTCCCTATTGTCCTTTATTAGTTATGCATATCTTTTTTGGGACTGATCACAAAACCAAGATGGCCGACAGACAGCCATCTTAAATTTGAGAGTTAAAGTTTGTTTGCGCTGTTCCTCAGAAAGTACTGTAGTGTTCTTTCTCAAATTTCACATGAAGGTTCCCCATGGTTCCTATTTTCGCATTTTGGGGATGATTGGAAAACCAAGATGGCTGGCAGGTGGTCGTATTGAATTTGGGATTAAAGTGTTTTAGCCCTATTAATCAAAAGTCTTGGAGGGATCTTTCTCAAATTTCACATAAGGGTTCCTCTTCTTTGTTCTTAGTTATGCATATAAAATCATATCGGCCAGCCGTCTTGTTACAGTTTTCAGTTTGTTATCGCTATTTCTCAGAATTAACTGGAGGATTTTTTCTCAAATTTGATATGTAGATTCCCCTTCACTCAGTGGTCCTGAGTTGTGCGTGTTAACTTTTGAGGTTGATCAAAAGATTGATTAAGATGGCAGATAGGCAAACTGATCAAACAGATAAGAGAAAAGATCTGTTGTTTTTGGCAATCAGGTCAGTTATAGACTTAAGTAAAGAAGCTAGGGTTACATAACCTCACAGCCTTATGTGCCTTCATAAGTTGAACATGTTACACAACATTTTCACGACCTTTTCTGTTGACCTTGACTTCTGTAGCTTTGATTAATTTTTCGTGTTCAGGTCACATATGGTACAGCAGCTAAGGATCATGCATGTTGCATGACATTATGTGACCTTGACATTTTACCTGGCCCCGTTGACCTTGCTTTGGTTACTAGGTGTGTGTGAGAGGCAGCCATGTCTTGCAGACACGTGAAGTTGGATGACTAGCATTATGTAAAGACTTTTAAAGCATGGACCTACTAAGTACTTAACCTGGTAAAACAATGGACAGGGAAGTCAGGGGTCAATGTTTTGATTCCAAATGGAAGCAAGAGTTCTCAATATTGTGTCACATTGCAAAGTCTGTGGCCCGCCTGTAAGGGCAGGAACCTTTTGGATCTAGATTGAAGTTGTTTTCAGCGGCAAATACACTTAAAAAGAGGACAGTGCCAAGTGTATGATTATACATCTGATTATGGTTGTCGTATAGCTTTGTGCTTGAGGAAATTTCCCTTTGGCGGTTAAAATCAAAAATTAGGGTCGCTGGCTCAATCCGAGCTTTGGACAGGAAGCCTCTTCTCCTTCCCAAATTAAAACTTTCGCATGCTTTAAAAGCTACTTACGTTTATATGTATTCAGTCTGTCATCAATCGGTACATTTATATGTATTCAGTCTGTCATCAATTGGTAAGTTTATATGTATTCAGTCTGTCATCAATTGGTACGTTTATATGTATTCAGTCTGTCATCAATTGGTACGTTTATATATATTCAGTCTGTCATCAATCGGTACGTTTATATGTATTCAGTCTGTCATCAATTGGTACGTTTATATATATTCAGTCTGTCATCAGTTGTTACGTTTATATGTATTCAGTCTGTCATCAATTGGTACGTTTATATGTATTCAGTCTGTCATCAATTGGTACGTTTATATGGATTCAGTCTTTTATCAATCGGTACGTTTATATGTATTCAGTCTATCATCAATTGGTGCGTTTATATGAATTCAGTCTGTCATCAATCGGTACGTTTATATGTATTCAGTCTGTCTTCAAACGGTACGTTTATATGTATTCAGTCTCTCATCAGTTGTTACGTTTATATGTATTCAGTCTCTCATCAGTTGTTACGTTTATATGTATTCAGTCTCTCAGCAATTGGTACGTTTATATGTATTCAGCCTGTCATCAATCTTTACGTTTATATGTATTCAGTCTCTCATCAGTTGTTACGTTTATATGTATTCAGTCTGCCATCAGTTGTTACGTTTATATGTATTCAGTCTCTCATCAGTTGTTACGTTTATATGTATTCAGTCTGCCATCAGTTGTTACGTTTATATGTATTCAGTCTGTAATCAATTGGTACGTTTATATGTATTCAGTCCGTCATCAATCGGTACGTTTCTATGTATTCAGTCTGTCATCAATTGGTACGTTTATATGTATTCAGTCTTTTATCAATCGGTACGTTTATATGTATTCAGTCTGTCATCAATTGGTACGTTTATATGTATTCAGTCTGTCATCAATTGGTACGTTTATATGTATTCAGTCTGTCATCAGTTGTTACGTTTATATGTATTCAGTCTGTCATCAATTTGGTACCATTCTCGTGATTTACTCATGATATACTTTTTGCGTTTTATGTTTCGACAGCCACATACAAACTTGTTAAGGCTGTACAGGTCCAGAACCCGATCCGTTGGGTTTGAGATGTCAGAACTTCCGTCTCCAATTCCTCCGGTTCCCTGGACATCCATTAACCACGGCATAAACCTAGTGGGAGATGGTACTTATCTGTTTAAAAATAGTGAAATAATTTGCTTGATATGCTGATCTTTTCAACTGTCTGTTGGGAATACATTATTCCTGTTTCCGAACGTAAAACATTTGCCATGAACTATGACATCACAGTGGAAGATGACATCACAAAGCATTGTAACTTGACATCATAATCAGAAAATTGACCAATGAAATAATGTCTAGGTCAGTACCTACTAGTGTGTAATCAAAAAAGTTTGACCATTCCTAGCAGGTTTATCCAATTCTTCATGAGTGAGGAAACTTACAGTGGTTGTAGAAAAAATCTGTATATTCAAACAATCCTTGTACCTTTGAAATATCAGAAAATATCAATTTGATAAAAACTTTGATCGTCACTGCAGTGGAAACACATTGAAATGTTATTTTAAAATGATATGAAATTAAAGAATAACTGTATCACATAAAATATTATCTATGTATCTTTTGTCAAAATATTATGTGTATTTTGAAAGACTTTAGTAAATGTTGTAATTTTCCCTCCCTAGCCGTTTTCATTCGTACATCCCCCTCATTTGATGGGGATAAGCAGATGAAAGTGATCCAGGCAATGCCCTCTGCAGACATTTTGTCAATATTTGATGTGCTCAACTATATGGGTTCCTGTCCCTGGATAGTAAATCAGTCGGTAAGTACTCTTCCACTAACAAATACAACTAAGGTTGATTATGGTGGCTGCACCCTTTTGAAATTAGCCAGCAGAATTCAATGAATAACATAATGGTTATGTCAATATGTAGAGATGATTTTATGAAAATCTAAGCATTCCGATAATCTGGGGATTTTTTTTATAAAAAGTACCGAAAAATTGATTTTTTGTCAAATTCAACACTTTCACATTTTTTGATTGTGTGGCATTGTTCAAAACTATTACAACAATAAAATAATGAAAAGAAACATTGCTAATCAATCCTACGGGATTTCCAACAAGAAAATGCTCAAACATATGTCCTCGGACTGACGATTGCTTTTAAACGTTTCCCTTTGCTTCCCTTCTCTGACTATTTTGTAAGTTTCACTTGTTTATTGTATCATGATGCATTGACCTTGAAACTTTATAAATCTCTTTATTAGGATACATCCTTTAAAATGTGGCATAAAAAAAAAGTTTTGAAGAATTTTGAAATTTTCACTTTTTTATCATTTTACCCATGTGACCTTGAATAAAGGTCAACGAGCTGAACTCATTATGTAGCCGAACATCCATTCTAAAGATGTGACAAATATCAACTCTTTATGTTTCAAAGTAACAGAGGAGAAGAGTTATAAGGGCATTTTTCGATAAAAGGAACATTTTCAAAGTGGCATATCTTCGTCATTTTTAGCTCACCTGGCCTGAGCGATGCAGGCCCATTGGGCCTCTTGTTTATACGCCCGTTAAATTTGACAGGCGTATTATGGTATGGGTTTGTCCGTCCGTCGGGCATAACTTTTGGTTGTCCGGCAATCTCCTCCTACATTTTTCGACCGATTTCTTGGAAACTTGGTATACATTATAATCCTGATTGAAGTTGTGTCTCCCTTTAAAGAATTTTGATTTGACAATTTTTGCAAAAGTTATTGCCGTTTGTTCATTTCAGTATTTGATTTTTTGTCCGGAAATTTTCTCCTACATTTTTAGCTAACCTGGTCCAAAGGACCATGGTGAGGTTTTTCCATACCGCAGCGTCCGTCGTCTGTCCGTCAACTTTTCCTGCTACACGTCAGAACGACTGAGCAGATTTTGACCAAATTTGGTCAGAGGCATCCTTGGGGAAGGGGAACAAATTTTGTATAAATGGTGGGTCTGGCCCCCCCTGGGGGCTAAGGGGCATGGCCCAATAGGGGAAAAACAGCATATTCTTTAAAATCCTTCTTATTCTGTAGGATTGAAAGGATTTGGTCCATATTTGGTCTGAAGCATTCTTGGGTAAAGGAGGACCGAGTTTGTATAAACGGTGGGTCTGGCCCCCCCTGGGGGCTGAGGGGTGGAGCCCAATAGGGGAAACAGAGGTAAAACCTTTATAATCCTTCTCCTGTAGGAATTAAAGGATTTGTTCCATATTTGGTTTGAAGCATCTGTTATGGCCCATGATCCATCCACTCTCTATTCAGATTCTGTCCGTTCCAGAAGTTTATATGGAACCTATCTTCTATACTATTTCTCTTGGAGTAACCAGATTTGATATGTAATTACCAGTACATCTTGTAAGTGCGGAGTGGTTAATCTTTGACCTGAACTTTGAAAAGTTTGTCTGGGGCATATCTTCTATACTATTTCTCTTGGAGTAACCAGATTTGATATGTAATTACCAGTACATCTTGTAAGTGCGGAGTGGTTAATCTTTGACCTGAACTTTGAAAAGTTTGTCTGGGGCATATCTTCTATACTATTTCTCTTGGAGTAACCAGATTTGATATGTAATTACCAGTACATCTTGTAAGTGCGGAGTGGTTAATCTTTGACCTGAACTTTGAAAAGTTTGTCTGGGGCATATCTTCTATACTATTTCTCTTGGAGTAACCAGATTTGATATGTAATTACCAGTACATCTTGTAAGTGCGGAGTGGTTAATCTTTGACCTGAACTTTGAAAAGTTTGTCTGGGGCATATCTTCTATACTATTTCTCTTGGAGTAACCAGATTTGATATGTAATTACCAGTACATCTTGTAAGTGCGGAGTGGTTAATCTTTGACCTGAACTTTGAAAAGTTTGTCTGGGGCATATCTTCTATACTATTTCTCTTGGAGTAACCAGATTTGATATGTAATTACCAGTACATCTTGTAAGTGCGGAGTGGTTAATCTTTGACCTGAACTTTGAAAAGTTTGTCTGGGGCATATCTTCTATACTATTTCTCTTGGAGTAACCAGATTTGATATGTAATTACCAGTACATCTTGTAAGTGCGGAGTGGTTAATCTTTGACCTGAACTTTGAAAAGTTTGTCTGGGGCATATCTTCTATACTATTTCTCTTGGAGTAACCAGATTTGATATGTAATTACCAGTACATCTTGTAAGTGCGGAGTGGTTAATCTTTGACCTGAACTTTGAAAAGTTTGTCTGGGGCATATCTTCTATACTATTTCTCTTGGAGTAACCAGATTTGATATGTAATTACCAGTACATCTTGTAAGTGCGGAGTGGTTAATCTTTGACCTGAACTTTGAAAAGTTTGTCTGGGGCATATCTTCTATACTATTTCTCTTGGAGTAACCAGATTTGATATGTAATTACCAGTACATCTTGTAAGTGCGGAGTGGTTAATCTTTGACCTGAACTTTGAAAAGTTTGTCTGGGGCATATCTTCTATACTATTTCTCTTGGAGTAACCAGATTTGATATGTAATTACCAGTACATCTTGTAAGTGCGGAGTGGTTAATCTTTGACCTGAACTTTGAAAAGTTTGTCTGGGGCATATCTTCTATACTATTTCTCTTGGAGTAACCAGATTTGATATGTAATTACCAGTACATCTTGTAAGTGCGGAGTGGTTAATCTTTGACCTGAACTTTGAAAAGTTTGTCTGGGGCATATCTTCTATACTATTTCTCTTGGAGTAACCAGATTTGATATGTAATTACCAGTACATCTTGTAAGTGCGGAGTGGTTAATCTTTGACCTGAACTTTGAAAAGTTTGTCTGGGGCATATCTTCTATACTATTTCTCTTGGAGTAACCAGATTTGATATGTAATTACCAGTACATCTTGTAAGTGCGGAGTGGTTAATCTTTGACCTGAACTTTGAAAAGTTTGTCTGGGGCATATCTTCTATACTATTTCTCTTGGAGTAACCAGATTTGATATGTAATTACCAGTACATCTTGTAAGTGCGGAGTGGTTAATCTTTGACCTGAACTTTGAAAAGTTTGTCTGGGGCATATCTTCTATACTATTTCTCTTGGAGTAACCAGATTTGATATGTAATTACCAGTACATCTTGTAAGTGCGGAGTGGTTAATCTTTGACCTGAACTTTGAAAAGTTTGTCTGGGGCATATCTTCTATACTATTTCTCTTGGAGTAACCAGATTTGATATGTAATTACCAGTACATCTTGTAAGTGCGGAGTGGTTAATCTTTGACCTGAACTTTGAAAAGTTTGTCTGGGGCATATCTTCTATACTATTTCTCTTGGAGTAACCAGATTTGATATGTAATTACCAGTACATCTTGTAAGTGCGGAGTGGTTAATCTTTGACCTGAACTTTGAAAAGTTTGTCTGGGGCATATCTTCTATACTATTTCTCTTGGAGTAACCAGATTTGATATGTAATTACCAGTACATCTTGTAAGTGCGGAGTGGTTAATCTTTGACCTGAACTTTGAAAAGTTTGTCTGGGGCATATCTTCTATACTATTTCTCTTGGAGTAACCAGATTTGATATGTAATTACCAGTACATCTTGTAAGTGCGGAGTGGTTAATCTTTGACCTGAACTTTGAAAAGTTTGTCTGGGGCATATCTTCTATACTATTTCTCTTGGAGTAACCAGATTTGATATGTAATTACCAGTACATCTTGTAAGTGCGGAGTGGTTAATCTTTGACCTGAACTTTGAAAAGTTTGTCTGGGGCATATCTTCTATACTATTTCTCTTGGAGTAACCAGATTTGATATGTAATTACCAGTACATCTTGTAAGTGCGGAGTGGTTAATCTTTGACCTGAACTTTGAAAAGTTTGTCTGGGGCATATCTTCTATACTATTTCTCTTGGAGTAACCAGATTTGATATGTAATTACCAGTACATCTTGTAAGTGCGGAGTGGTTAATCTTTGACCTGAACTTTGAAAAGTTTGTCTGGGGCATATCTTCTATACTATTTCTCTTGGAGTAACCAGATTTGATATGTAATTACCAGTACATCTTGTAAGTGCGGAGTGGTTAATCTTTGACCTGAACTTTGAAAAGTTTGTCTGGGGCATATCTTCTATACTATTTCTCTTGGAGTAACCAGATTTGATATGTAATTACCAGTACATCTTGTAAGTGCGGAGTGGTTAATCTTTGACCTGAACTTTGAAAAGTTTGTCTGGGGCATATCTTCTATACTATTTCTCTTGGAGTAACCAGATTTGATATGTAATTACCAGTACATCTTGTAAGTGCGGAGTGGTTAATCTTTGACCTGAACTTTGAAAAGTTTGTCTGGGGCATATCTTCTATACTATTTCTCTTGGAGTAACCAGATTTGATATGTAATTACCAGTACATCTTGTAAGTGCGGAGTGGTTAATCTTTGACCTGAACTTTGAAAAGTTTGTCTGGGGCATATCTTCTATACTATTTCTCTTGGAGTAACCAGATTTGATATGTAATTACCAGTACATCTTGTAAGTGCGGAGTGGTTAATCTTTGACCTGAACTTTGAAAAGTTTGTCTGGGGCATATCTTCTATACTTTTTCACATGGAGTAACAAGATTTGATTCTAGATAACTCAAGTGTTCAGCTCTTTCCCTTAGTTGTGTAGATGACTGTGCACTACTCTCATATACTTAGGAATTTAATAAAGTCTGCTGATTGTATATGATTATGTTATTTTTTTCAGGTGCTAGATTCACAAATTCAAGTTTTCAGTAAAAATGGAAGTAAAGAGCTAAATATACCGATGCCTGGTCCTTCTTTGCCTCCACATCTTAAAAACCTTCGTCGGTGAGTTTTATAACCCATAGAGAGGCCTTCTGTCATCATGTCCAAGACACCGGTTATCACATCCTAGACACCGGTTATCACGTCCAAGACACCTGTCATCATGTCCAAGACACCTGTTATCAAGTCCTAGACACCTGTTATCACGTCCAAGACACCTGTTATCACATCCTAGACACCTGTTATCACGTCCTAGACACCTGTTATCACATCCTAGATACCTGTTATCATGTCCAAGACACCTGTTATCACGTCCTAGACACCTGTTATCATGTCCTAGACACCTGTTATCATGTCCCAGACACCTGTCATCACGTCCCATACACCTGTAATCACATCTCAGACACCTGTTATCACGTCCTAGACACCTGTTATCATGTCTCAGACACCTGTTATCACGTCCCAGACACCTGTCATCACTTTCCAGACATCTGTCATCATGTCCCAGACACCTGTCATCATGTCCCATACACCTGTTATCACATCTCTGACACCTGTTATCATGTCCCATACAACTGTTATCACATCCCATACAACTGTCATCACTTCCCATACACCTGTTATCACATCTCTGACACCTGTTATTATGTTCCAGACACCTGTCGTCATGTCCCAGACACCTGTCATCACGTCCCATACACCTGTTATCACATCTCTGACACCTGTTATCACATCTCAGACACCTGTTATCACATCCCAGACAACTGTCATCACTTCCCATACACCTGTCATCACCTGTTAGCATGTCCCAGACACCTGTCATCACTTTCCAGACATCTGTCATCATGTCCCAGACACCTGTCATCATGTCCCAGACACCTGTCATCATGTCCCAGACACCTGTCATCACGTCCCAGACACCTGTCATCACGTCCCAAACACCTGTTATCACATCTCTGACACCTGTTATCATGTCCCAGACACCTGTCATCATGTCCCAGAAACCTGTCATCACGTCCCATACACCTGTTATCACATCCAAGACACCTGTTATCACATCTCAGACACCTGTTATCACATCCCAGACACCTGTTATCACATCCCATACACCTGTCATCACGTCCCAGACACCTGTCATTACGTCCAAGACACCTGCCATCATGTCTCAGACACATAATCACGTACCAGACAACTGTCATCACGTCCTAGACACCTTTTATCACTTCCCAGACACCTGTCATGATGTCCTAGACAACTGTCATAACCTCCCAGACACCTGTTATCACATCTCAGACACCTGTTATCACATCCCATGCACCTGTCATCACATACCAGACAACTGTCATCACGTACCAGACACCTGTCATCATGTCCCAGACACCTTTATCACGTTTCAGACACCTGCTCTCATTGTTCCAGATACTTGTACCAGTCGTTCATTTATGAAACAGAGATAGAGGTAATATGGTTCCTCGGATGTTAAGACACTCTGCATGCTTTCATCCAAGTCAATAAGAGTAATAGATATAAGTTGGAAAAAACTTGTTCCATTGTTGTTGTAAAATAACTATGTGGATGGGAATTTGTGATTATTTTGGAAATATATGTTTGTTATCTGATGTTTCCTTATTGGACCTTAATTAATTTGGATGTTTTTTAATGTTTCAGGGCTACAAATGAGAAGCAATTCAAGCAGTTGTGGAGAGAAAGATACAAGTGGAAGAAGAAGTCCCTGGAAATGAACTCTCTCTGGTGTAGCTGTCTTTGGACGCTAACTATAGCCAATGAGGTACTGTATAGTTGCTAATATTGACGAGGGTTTTAATTTCGCGAATGCATTAAAGTTCACAAAATTAACACCCTTGTGAATATTTTGAGCTTGCCTCTATAACATCCAAGTTTCACACGTCCATGATATCAGTTGAGCTGAGGCTGCTAGGTCAAAACATCGTTTTAAAAGAAGTACACAATAAAAAGAAAGTTAACAGATGAATTGAAAACAAAAATCAGTCATACCTAATCCATCCGTGTAATTTTATTGTGGATCACAACCAAACCATATATGCATACTATTAGCCCTGTAGGCATCAATAAGTAAGCTGACTCATATAAACTTGAGCATATCAAAGAAAATATTGTACAGTTTAAATCCTGACAAGTGGGAAAGCTTTTCTCAGCATTTCTTTGTCCTACTTCAGTTTTTAGGTCATATATTTATTCTGATCGCTTTCCGTCCGTCGTGCGTACATTTTTTACATTTTCAACTTCTTCTCAAGAACCAGTGCATGGAAGTATTTCAATTATGATTCGTGAAATTAAAAGCTACACAGGAGCTCCGAAAAAAAATTGCAAAATTTTAACTTCACGAAATTTAACAACTATACAGTAAATAGAATAACATCACATGATGTAAATTAACAAATCAGACTTAGGTCAATAAGGCTGATGCAATCGCTATAGAATAATGATGGAATATAATGATATCCTTAGGACAAGTCATTGAGGGTATAGAGGGATTTGTTCCTATCTTTGATGGTGTCTGTCAAAGTTTGTGTTTCAACTTTCCGAGCTGAAAAGGTCACTACTTCATGGTGGGTTTTTTGTGGGATAACACGCTATAAACCTTATAAATGTCACAACTTTTGAAATACATTTATTTATTTAAGGTCACTTGAGCTTTAGCTCAAGTGACCTATTGCTATCCGTCGTCGTCTGTTAACATTTTACATTTTCAACTTAAGCTGAAATACTGGCGAAGGGATTTCATTGATACTTCTTTGGATAGTCTGAGTTATTCTGACGTTTTATCGACTTTTTTCATATCGGTCTGTCGTCGATAAACGTCAGAACTCCGGCCCTCTATAATATGCGGGAAATATGCGACCCGTGCCCGGAGCGCACTTCAAACTGATATTTTAGAAACAAATCGTCACTTTCACACACATGTCGCTCATGGATCGAAAGATCTATTCTTTATGCACAAGATGAACATAAATTACATGCCTCAAACAACCAATACAATCACTAAAAACATATTTTTTCAAACTTACTCTGTTTTACTCTATTTTTTTGATAGCCCCGCCTTCTAATGCCACGTGACTAAAATCTCGCCGGCCTACGTCATAACATTGGGAAATACCTTCGGTAACGCGAGATCTCGTCAAGTCATGTGACATTGCTCATGGCCTAATTTCCATTAAAAACATGGGTTGGTATAGAATACTTTGGAAAATACTTTTCGTAATGATCTTTGAAACATGTTATTGATACCACCTAGTACATAAAGAATAGATCTTTCGATCCATGTGCGACATGTGTGTGAAAGTGACGATTTGTTTCTAAAAGATCAGTTTGAAGTGCGCTCCGGGCACGGGTCGCATATTTCCCGCATATTATAGAGGGCCGGAGTTCTGACGTTAATCGATGACAGACCGATATGAAAAAAGTCGATAAAACGTCAGAATAATTCGGACTATTCTTTGGAATGTTACTGACATCTCCCTGACCAAGCGTTGTTATTTTTCGGGTCGATCAGAAATCCAGTATGGCTGCAATTATGAAAAACTATTTCAAACTTAATGTCAAGTTCTGCTTGGCCGATTTAACTGAAACTTGTTAGGAATGATTGACTCATGGTCCTGACAAAATGTTGTTATTTTTCGAGTCGATCAGAAATCCGATTTGGCTGCCACGACCGCTATTTTGAAAATAACTATTTCAAACTTGAAATCAAGTTCTAATAGGCCGATTAACTGAAACTTGGTCTAGGAATGATCAGCTCATGGTCCTGACAAACTTAAGTCAACGTTATACTAACTATTTTTTACTCAAATTGGTACATATTTCAACAAACAAACAAAATACTGTAGGACTCAGGTGACCCATTAAGGCCCATGGGCCTCTTGTTTATATCAGAGCTGAACTGTCAAAAGATTGTAAAATCCTATTATGTCTGAATAAAATCTATGTAACTATTAGTCTCTCACGGGTTCCTATAGGATGCTATAGGTTTACGTCTGTTCTTCTGTCCAACCAAAATCTTTGTCCAGTACATATCTTCTGTACTATTTCACCTTTAGTAACTAGATTTGGTATGCAAGTACATCTTGGGATGGCAAAGTAGAAGAAGTCTGTCACTTTGACCTTTGAAAAACTTTGTCCAGTACATATTTTTTGTCCAGTACATATCTCCTTTACTATGTGACCTGGAGTAACCAGATTTTGTATGTAAGTACATCCTGGGATTGCAGATTGCAAGTACTAGACGTAAATTGCTGTGACCTATGTTTTGACCTTTAATATCAACCTTTGAAAAAGTTTGTCTGGTGCATATCTTCTTTATAATTTCACCAGGGTTAATTACCAGATTCAGTATGCAGATATACCTTATGGTGGCAAAGTGCAGTTTACAAAATGTAGGTCACTGTGGTATATGCTTTGACCTTTGACCTCAGTCATAGAAAAAGTTTTTTCAAGGCTTATACTCTAGACTGTTCGTCTTGGAGTAACCAAATTTGGTATACAGGTATATACGGAGGTGACAGCATTAACCGTGTGAAAAGCAATTCTCTGATATATTTACTTTGACCCCTGATGACAATAAGTGGACAAGTTTACCCTATTCTGTAGATAGGTATATAGCTCTGTAAATAAACAAATAGTATTAACTTATGGATTGCCCTGCAATACTCCGCCTTGTTCAGATAATTTATTTGGCTAATTTTAAATGTCATATGAGCAAACTAAGTTAAAAGCTTGCTACAATGATCCATGATATGTAAAGTAGTACAAGCCTTGCGTGTTAGTTTGCCTACCATCAAGTTTGTTAAAATAAATTTATCCTTGGCCCATGTTAAAGTTCACAGTCTTGAATAATATGGACTATTTGGTGAATACATTGAATTTTGCCTAGTTTTTGCCAAATACAAGCTGCTGAGGAAAAAATGAAAAACTTTTACCAATTTCAATTATTTCATGTAGGAGCAGGCTGTTGTAAAATTTAGATAGAAAAAACAAAAAATGCAAAACTGAAAAAAGGGAGAAAAGCATTGTTCTGTAATCAGGTGTTAATTTGTTCGTTGACAGTTCCGTGATTAGATGTTAATTTGTTCGTTGACAGTTCCGTGATCAGGTGTTGATTTGTTCGTTGACAGTTACGTGATCATGCAGGTGTTAATTTGTTCGTTGACAGTTCCGTGATCAGGTGTTAATTTGTTTGTTGACAGTTCCGTGATCAGGTGTTTTGGCTGCCCTTGAATCTGGACTTCCGTGGCAGAGTTTACACATGTTCATCCATCATGCAGTTCCAGTGTAAGTCATCTCTAATTAATTCCAGATTTCAGATTTTATTACCAACACTCAGACACATGAAAATGTATAACATGAAGTACATGAACATGAATTCATATATTAAATTATGACAGGATGGACAGGTGCATGCATGTATATGAAGATACTGATATATATATATTGTTTTGTACTTTATTGTCTGTTTAGGTTATTTTAGCCTTGTTTTGTATTAGATTTAGATATTATTAACTTGAGTCAATGTCAGCATGAAGTGCTGGTTCATTGTCCATACAGAATTACAATTGTAAAATTATGAAAAAAATGCGTATCCTTGAGAAATATGTCGGAAAGGTTACCCAGAAGTTCACTGAACTCTTTGTACAGACTTTAGAGCACCCCACCCCCCTGTATTAAGTATTAGATTGAAGTTTTATTAAATTGAGTCTTTATCAATATACAGTGCTGTGCCTCGTGTCAAGGTGTAAAAAAAAAATTGTATAAGAAGGCAAAGCTACAAACCATTTTGCTTCACACATGATGTCGTGTTTGCTTTGGTAATTTTCAAAATTTGTTTTGTAGCTAATGACATGACAAGAAGCTTGTTTTTGTTTGCCAATGGGAAACCTCTCGGTGAGAAAGGGTTGGACTGGCTCAAAATTCACGTCATCAACTTGACAGGTTTAAAGAAGAAGTGAGTAGTAAAAGTGCAGCACTGTAGTAAATCTACATATTTTTGTGCTGACCATTCGATGTCAACTTAAATGTGTAGTACCATATGTTTGTGCTGACCATTCGATGTCAACTTAAAAGTGTAGTACCATATTTTTGTGCTGACCATTCGATGCCAACTTACATGTGTAGTACCATATTTTTGTGCTGACCATTCTATGTCAACTTAAATGTGTAGTACCATATTTTTGTGCTGACCATTCGATGTCAACTTAAATGTGTAGTACCATAATTTTGTGCTGACCATTCGATGTCAACTTACATGTGTAGTACCATATTTTTGTGCTGACCATTCGATGTCAACTTAAATGTGTAGTACCATATTTTTCTTGAGCAATTACCTAGTAAGAGTTGACATTAGCGAACACAATTATTGTCAAACTTTGATAGTACCTATATGTCATTTTCAAACATTTAAAGGACCTAACTTTTAAACTTCACTTCTCTGTTGCATCATAAACATGCAAAACTTGGACCCGAGATCAACAGAGGTGGCCATGACACAATGCATCTTAATTAAAATGACAGAACAAATATTTTTCTCTCAAAACAGTTTTGTACAATTTACAAGAAAGAAAAAAAAAATCTTTTTCGCAACTAGTGATCAAAATTAGCAAATTACGAAAAAAGTAATCGAAAGCGTGAGTAGAGAATAGTTAAAAGACTACTCCTTCAATAGGAATGAAGAGAATTTAATCAAATTTTGCATGAAGTATCCCCTGAGTAAGAAAATGAGGAAGAAAATAAATGTTTGCAACTATGAAGAATGTGCCTCTCTCCTAAACATCAGGTTCCTAGGTGGTTTTTAACCATTTTGCATGGAGCATCCTTGAACTAAGGAAACTTACTGCTACATAAATGAAGTGTATGGCCTCAATTGAGTGGGGGAGCAGGGCCAAGTTAGGGTTAATATCTCAAAAACTACTCCTAAAGGTCGTATGAAGGAATTCAAACCTCATTTAGTATAGGGCATCCATGGATAAAGGAAATTGAATGTTGAATAAATGAAAAATGTATTGGGGCAAAAATATTGAAGTAGATTTATTTCATAATTCTTTCAGTAAAGTAAAAAATGAAATATGGCCACCATGGTCTCAAGGTAACAAAAGAAACTGTTTAATGCCCCGGGGAATATGTCTCTTGTTTGCATTTCGCATCTGTTTTGAAAATGAAAATTGTTTGCAGTACTTGAAACAAGTAGGATACAGACATATATTACATCATTTCTGTTTAAGACACTCTAACAGGGACAGAATTGCCTATGCCAATCAAATAATAGAGGAGATCTTGGATTCTGCAGATAATCCATTGAATGTGAGTAAATAATTAAATCTCCCCTCCGTGCTACATTTGTATCTCGGGGAAAATTTAAAATCTGATCACTCCTCCTTTACATTTGATAATGTTATTGTAAAGAGATGTTGATCGAATGGCATAAAATTGTACTATAAAAGGTGTGTGGGGTTGATTCCTGCTTTTTGAAAAAATTAAAAGGTGTCCGAAGGAATTAGTTGCATTAGAGGTGTCGGGGAATTAGTTGTGGGAAAGCTGTCAGGGAGATAGTTGTGTGAAAGGTGTTGGGAGTTAGTTGTGTAATATGTGGTTGGTAGTTAGTTGTGAGAGAGGTGTCCTGGAGTTAGTTGTGTGAGAGTTGTTAGGGAGATAGTTGTGTGAGAAGCATCGGGTAGTTAGTTGTGGGAGAGGTGTCAGGGAGTTAGTTGTGGGAGAGGTGTCAGGGAATTAGTTGTATGAGTGGTGGCAGGGAGTTAGTTAGCTAGAGTTAGTTGTGTGAGAGGTGGCAGGGAGTTAGCTGTGGGAGAGGTGTATGGGAATTAGTTGCATTAGAGGTGTCAGGGAGTTAGTTGTGTGAGAGGTGTCAGGGAGTTAGCTGTGTGAGAGGTGTCAGGGAATTAGTTGTATGAGAGGTGGCAGGGAGTTAGTTAGCTAGAGTTAGTTGTGTGAGAGGTGTCGGGGAATTAGTTGCATTAGAGGTGTCAGGGAGTTAGCTGTGTGAGAGATGTCAGGGAATTAGTTGTATGAGAGGTGGCAGGGAATTGGTTTTATGAGAGGTGGCAGGGAATTTGTTGTATGAGAGGTGTCAGGGAATTGGTTTTATGAGAGGTGGCAGGGAATTTGTTGTATGAGAGGTGTCAGGGAATTAGTTGTATGAGAGGTGGCAGGGAATTAGCTGTGTGAGAAGTGGCAGGGAATTAGCTGTATGAGAGGTGGCAGAGAATTAGTTGTGGGAGAGGTGGCAGGGAGTTAGCTGTGTGAGAGGTGGCGGGGGTATGGTTGCATTAGAGGTGTCGGGGAGTTAGTTGTGTGATAGGTGTCGGGTAGTTAGTTGTGGGAGAGGTGTTGGGGAGTTTGCTGTATGAGAGGTGGCAGGGAGTCAGTTGTGGAAGAGGTGTTAGGGAGTTAGTTGTGGAAGAGGTGTCAGGGAGGGAATTAGCTGTGTGGGAAGTTGCCGGGGAATTAGTTGCATTAGAGGTGTCAGGAAGTTAGCTGTGTGAGAGGTCTCAGGGAATTAGTTGTGTGACAGGTGGCAGGGAGTTAGCTGTGTGACAGGTGTCAGGGAATTAGTTGCATTAGAGGTGGCAGGGAAATAGTTGTATGAGAGGTGGCAGGGAGTCGGGTGTGTGAGAGGTGTCAGAGAGTTAGTTGTATATGTGAGAGATGATATGGATTTAGTTGTGTGAGAGATGGTAGGGAATTAGTTGTATGAGAGGTGGCAGGGAGTAAGTTGTGTTAGAGGTGGCAGAGAGTTAGTTGTGTTAGAGGTGTCAGGGAGTTAGTTGTATGAGGGGTAAGATAATAACTTGTGTGAGAGGTGTCAGGCAATTAGATGAATGCATTTGTTGTATGAGAGGGATATGTGACAAGTGCTATTCTAGAATCTCCTGGTATCAAATAATGTTATATGTACAAAAAAGTAGGCTTCATAAACGATTTTTTTACTTTAAACAAATGATTGTGGTGTAATGTTTGCCAGGGTGGAATGTGGTGGAGGAAGAGCGATGAACCCTGGCAGACTCTGGCCTGCTGTAAAGAGATAGCAGCAGCAGTCCGAAGTGAAGATCACACAAAGTTTGTTAGCCACTTTCCAGTACACCAGGTAAATCTGTGACTTTTCATAATGTTCAAGACTGCTGATAAACATTAAAGTCATTTACCATAATTGTTATCATATTTGAACTAAATAAATCAATTAAGGGAGAATCTCCCCCTTCTCCATCAGCCAGACAGACATATTCCGTGTGGAAGTCTGGTGTACATTGAGTGTTTATGTGACTGATATCAATTAACTTAGAGTAAAGGGTACCACTGCATCAGTTATAATCACAAAAAGAAGAGTTCCACAAAGAAGCGTTTTAACAAAGCCTTTTAATGAGTTATACAATTCACCAGTGAAGGTGAGTTATAACAAAGCCTTTTAATGAGTTATACAGTTCACCGGTGAAGGTGAATTAAAACAAAGCCTTTTAATGAGTTATACAATTCACCAGTGAAGGTGAGTTATAACAAAGCCTTTTATTGAGTTATACAGTTCACCAATGAAGGTGAGTTATACCAAAGCCTTTTAATGAGTTATACAATTCACCAGTGAAGGTGAGTTATGACAAGGCTTTCAATGAGTTATACAATTCACCAGTGAAGGTGAGTTATAACAAAGCCTTTTGATGAGTTATACAGTTCACCAGTGAAGGTGAGTTATAACAAAGCTTTTTAATGAGTTATACAGTTCACCAGTGAAGGTGAGTTATAACAAAACCTTTTAATGAGTTATACAATTCACCAGTGACGGTGAGTTATAACAAAGCCTTTTAATGAGTTATATAGTTCACCAGTGAAGGTGAGTTATAACAAAGCCTTTTAATGAGTTATACAATTCACCAGTGAAGGTGAGTTATGACAAAGCCTTTCAATGAGTTATACAATTCACCAGTGAAGGTGAGGTATAACAAAGCCTGTTAACGAGTTATACAATTCAGCAGTGAAGGTGAGTTATGACAAGGCTTTCAATGAGTTATACAATTCACCAGGGAAGGTGAGTTATGACAAAGCCTTTTAATGAGTTATTCAGTTCACCAATGAAGGTGAGTTATACCAAAGCCTTTAAATGAGTTATACAGTTCACCAATGAAGGTGAGTTATACCAAAACCTTTTAATGAGTTATATAGTTCACCAGTGAAGGTGAGTTATAACAAAGCCCTTTAATGAGTTATACAGGTCACCAGTGAAGGTGAGTTATAACAAAGCCTTTTAATGAGTTATACAATTCACCAGTGAAGTTGAGTTATGACAACTTTTCAATGAGTTATACAATTCACCAGTGAAGGTGAGTTATAACAAAGCCTGTTAATGAGTTATATAGTTCACCAATGAAGGTGAGTTATACCAAAACCTTTTAATGAGTTATACAATTCACCGGTGAAGGTGAGTTATAACAAAGCCTTTTAATGAGTTATACAGTGCACCAATGAAGGTGAGTTATACCAAAACCTTTTAATGAGATATACAATTCACCAGTGAAGGTGAGTTATAACAAAGCCTGTTAATGAGTTATATAGTTCACTAATGAAGGTGAGTTATACCAAAACCTTTTAATGAGTTATACAATTCACCAGTGAAGATGAGTTATGACAACTTTTCAATGAGTTATACAATTGACCAGTGAAGGTGAGTTATAACAAAGCCTGTTAATGAGTTATATAGTTCACCAATGAAGGTGAGTTATACCAAAACCTTTTAATGAGTTATACAATTCACCGGTGAAGGTGAGTTATAAAAAGCCTGTTAATGAGTTATACAATTCACCAGTGAAGGTGAGTTATAACAAAGCCTTTTAATGAGTTATACAGTGCACCAATGAAGGTGAGTTATACCAAAACCTTTTAATGAGTTATACAATTCACCGGTGAAGGTGAGTTATAAAAAGCCTGTTAATGAGTTATACAATTCACCAGTGAAGGTGAGTTATAACAAAGCCTGTTAATGAGTTATATAGTTCACTAATGAAGGTGAGTTATACCAAAACCTTTTAATGAGTTATACAATTCACCGGTGAAGGTGAGTTATAAAAAGCCTGTTAATGAGTTATACAATTCACCAGTGAAGGTGAGTTATGACAAAGCCTTTTAATGAGTTATACAGGTCACCAGTGAAGGTGAGTTATAACAAAGCCTTTTAATGAGTTATACAGTGCACCAATGAAGGTGAGTTATACCAAAACCTTTTAATGAGATATACAATTCACCAGTGAAGGTGAGTTATAACAAAGCCTTTTAATGAGTTATACAGTTCACCGGTGAAGGTGAGTTTTGACAAAACCTTTTAATGAGTTATATAGTTCACCAGTGAAGGTGAGTTATAACAAAGCCTTTTAATGAGTTATACAATTCACCGGTGAAGGTGAGTTATAACAAAGCCTTTTAATGAGTTAGACAATTCACCAGTGAAGGTGAGTTATATCAAAGCCTTTTAATGAGTTATACAATTCACCAGTGAAGGTGTTTAAGATGTGGAGGCAAAGAAGGACCAGGTATCGGTATATTCAGCTCTTTACTTCCATTCTTACTGAAAACTTTAATTTGTGAATCTAGCACCTGAAAAAACAACATATTCATATACAATCAGCAGATTTTATTAAAATTCTGAAGTTTATGAAAGTAGTGCACAGTCACCTACACAAAAATGTGTTAGATCATAAGAGACTGAATTTTTGCATTTATACATCAATGTAGTGAATGAAATTATGTTTTAATTGCTGTTTCATACGTACCACCACTGGGTTGAGTGTTGATCAATTTTCTCAACTGTAGGATGGGTCATGTAACGGCCTTCAGCACTATGCAGCCCTGGGGAGAGACAAGTTTGGTGCCAGATCTGTCAACTTGGACCATTCAGACGTTCCTAAGGATGTATACAGTGACGTCATGGAAATGGTGAGAATTCTACCTGTTAAATCTACTGTGGGTTATAACCCCTGTCACACTGGTACACTCTAGTTAACAGTTCCCTGTAAATCTTACCTAACCTGTTAAATCTACAGTGGGTTATAACCCCTGTCACACTGGTACACTCTAGTTAACAGTTCCCTGTAAATCTTACCTAACCTGTTAAATCTACAGTGGGTTATAACACCTGTCACACTGGTACACTCTAGTTAACAGTTCCCTGTCAGTCTTACCTAACCTGTTAAATCTACAGTGGGTTATAACACCTGTCACACTGGTACACTCTAGTTAACAGTTCCCTGTCAGTCTTACCTAACCTGTTAAATCTACAGTGGGTTATAACACCTGTCACACTGGTACACTCTAGTTAACAGTTCCCTGTCAGTCTTACCTAACCTGTTAAATCTACAGTGGGTTATAACACCTGTCACACTGGTACACTCTAGTTAACAGTTCCCTGTCAGTCTTACCTAACCTGTTAAATCTACAGTGGGTTATAACACCTGTCACACTGGTACACTCTAGTTAACAGTTCCCTGTCAGTCTTACCTAACCTGTTAAATCTACAGTGGGTTATAACACCTGTCACACTGGTACACTCTAGTTAACAGTTCCCTGTCAGTCTTACCTAACCTGTTAAATCTACAGTGGGTTATAACACCTGTCACACTGGTACACTCTAGTTAACAGTTCCCTGTCAGTCTTACCTAACCTGTTAAATCTACAGTGGGTTATAACACCTGTCACACTGGTACACTCTAGTTAACAGTTCCCTGTCAGTCTTACCTAACCTGTTAAATCTACAGTGGGTTATAACACCTGTCACACTGGTACACTCTAGTTAACAGTTCCCTGTCAGTCTTACCTAACCTGTTAAATCTACAGTGGGTTATAACACCTGTCACACTGGTACACTCTAGTTAACAGTTCCCTGTCAGTCTTACCTAACCTGTTAAATCTACAGTGGGTTATAACACCTGTCACACTGGTACACTCTAGTTAACAGTTCCCTGTCAGTCTTACCTAACCTGTTAAATCTACAGTGGGTTATAACACCTGTCACACTGGTACACTCTAGTTAACAGTTCCCTGTCAGTCTTACCTAACCTGTTAAATCTACAGTGGGTTATAACACCTGTCACACTGGTACACTCTAGTTAACAGTTCCCTGTCAGTCTTACCTAACCTGTTAAATCTACAGTGGGTTATAACACCTGTCACACTGGTACACTCTAGTTAACAGTTCCCTGTCAGTCTTACCTAACCTGTTAAATCTACAGTGGGTTATAACCCCTGTCACACTGGTACACTCTAGTAAACAGTTCCCTGTCAGCCTTACCTAACCTGTTAAATCTACAGTGGGTTAAAATACCTGTTATATTTATCGTATTGACAGAACTGCCTAAATGTACGAGTGTGTTCTTATGGGCATTGCTAGCAATGATGTTGCAGATGCACTTTCAATAAGAACTATATAACTACACATATGTAATTTGTTGATGTTTGAAGCTATTATTAACCTGTTAAATCTACAGTGGGTTATAACACCTGTCACACTGGTACACTCTAGTTAACAGTTCCCTGTCAGTCTTACCTAACCTGTTAAATCTACAGTGGGTTAAAATACCTGTTATATTTATCGTATTGACAGAACTGCCTAAATGTACGAGTGTGTTCTTATGGGCATTGCTAGCAATGATGTTGCAGATGCACTTTCAATAAGAACTATATAACTACACATATGTAATTTGTTGATGTTTGAAGCTATTATCGGTAATTAGAATACGTTAAACTGCTATGAAATCCCATGGTCGAGCGCAGTCTGTGCCTCGCATCATGTTGATGGCACGCGGCTATATACGCAGGTGATGTGCCTACCTGTTCTTTGGGTTAGGGTTAGGGTTAGGTATACAGGTATGTTGTTGCCATAGCCTGGTCGGGTGCAGTCTGTGCCTCGAGGCATGTTGATGGCACGCGGCTATATACTTAGGTGATGTGCCTACCTGTTCTTTGGGTTAGGGTTAGGGTTAGGTATACAGGTATGTTGTTGCCAGAACATGGTCGAGCGCAGTCTGTGCCTCGCGGCATGTTGATGGCATACCGCTATATACACAGGTGATGTGCCTCCCTGTTCTTTGGGTTAGGGTTAGGGGCAGGGTTAGGTATACAGGTATGTTGTTGCAATAGCCTGGTCGGGTGCAGTCTGTGCCCCGCGGCATGTTGATGGCATGCCGCTATATACAAAGGGGATGTGCCTACCTGTTCTTTGGGTTAGGGTTAGGGTTAAGTATACAGGTATGTTGTTGCCATAGCCTGGTCGTGTGCAGTCTGTGCCTCGAGGCATGTTGATGGCACGCGGCTATATACGTAGGTGATGTGCCTAGCTGTTCTTTGGGTTAGGGTTAGGGTCAGGGTTGGGTATACAGGTATGTTGTTGCCAGAGCCTGGTCGGGCGCAGTCTGTGCCTCGAGGCATGTTGATGGCACACGGCTATATATACAGGTATGTTGTTGCCATAGCCTGGTCGGGTGCAGTCTGTGCCTCGAGGCATGTTGATGGCACACGGCTATATACACAGGTGATGTGCCTTCCTGTTCTTTGGGTTAGGGTTAGGGTCAGGGTTAGGTATACAGGTATGTTGTTGCCAGAACATGATCGAGCGCAGTCTGTGCCTCGCGGCATGTTGATGGCACGCGGCTATATACATAGGTGATGTGCCATCCTGTTCTTTGGGTTAGGGTTAGGGTTAGGTATACAGGTATGTTGTTGCCAGAGCATGGTCTAGCACAGTATGTGCCTCGCGGCATGTTGATGGCACGCGGCTATATACACAGGTGATGTGCCTTCCTGTTCTTTGGGTTAGGGTTAGGGTTAGGGCTAGGTATACAGGTATGTTGTTGCCAGAGCCTGGTCGAGCACAGTATGTGCCTCGCGGCATGTTGTTTGCATGAGGCTATATACACAGGTGATGTGCCTACCTGTTCTTTGGGTTGGGGTTAGGGTTAGGGTTAGGGCTAGGTTTACAGGTATGTTGTTGCCATAGCCTGGTCGAGCGCAGTCTGTGCCTCGCGGCATGTTGATGGCACGCGGCTATATACACAGGTGATGTGCCTACCTGTTCTTTGAATGGATAGTTAACATACTAAGGTTTGTGTGGTCGGGGATAAATCAGAGTTAGAGAAATATAGGGTATTCTTGTAATGGTAGTTTGAGTAATCTGAGGTAATTTTACAAAAGATATATAAGAACACAGTCAGGACCAAGCGAACTATTCGAGGAATAGGGGGTATTCGAGTAAAACGAGTGCAAGTAAGTGCGGTTTTACTGTACTTGACCAAATGCAAGATGAGTCGTTGCCTCAACTTTGACAGTAAGTATAAATACATTGTAAAGACTATCATTATTACTTTTACGATACTAACTGATTTCCTGACAACATATTGTGCTTGTTTTTGCCAGGTTGAATCACAGCGGCAAGAAGATGAAAAGAATGGTTCAGAAATAGCGAAGTTTATGGCTCCTTATATCACAAGGAAGGTAAAACGCAATATTTAAAACAAAGAAAAAGTTTCATAAAGATATATTAATCTGTCCATAGGAATTTTTCGGGTCATTCATTGAAAATCACAAATTTTTAAGTGTTGTCAGAAATGAAAAAATGAAATCATACAAACTCGTGCTGGCAAGTCTCAATGATTAAAGGGAGATAACTCGCACACTGTAACTTACATCGAGGGCAAGTCTCAATGATTAAAGGGAGATAACTCGCACACTGTAACAAACATCGGGGGCAAGTCTCAATGATTAAAGGGAGATAACTCACACACTGTAACTAACATCAAGGGCAAATCTCAATGATTAAAGGGAGATAACTTGCACACTGTGACTAACATCCGGGGCAAGTCTCAATGATTAAAGGGAGATAACTTGCACACTGTGACCAACATCCGGGGAAAGTCTCAATGATTAAAGGGAGATAACTCAAACACTGTAACTAACATCGGGGGCAAATCTCAATGATTAAAGGGAGATAACTTGCACTCTGTGACTAACATCCGGGGAAAGTCTCAATGATTAAAAGGAGATAACTCGCATACGGTAACTAACATCTGGGGCAGGTCTCAATGATTAAAGGGAGATAACTCACACACTGTAACTAACATCGGGGGCAAGTCTCAATGATTAAAGAGAGATAACTCACACACTGTAACTAACATCCAGGGAAAGTCTCAATGATTAAAGGGAGATAACTCGCACACTTTAACTAACATCGGGGGCAAGTCTCAATGATTAAAGGGAGATAACTCACACACTGTAACTAACATCAAGGGCAAATCTCAATGATTAAAGGGAGATAACTTGCACACTGTGACTAATATCCGGGGAAAGTCTCAATGATTAAAGGGAGATAATTTGCACACTGTGACTTACATCCGAGTTATCAAAACAGTGGTTTCTGCTCCTGTCTGGAGGATGATGGACTTGAGGTTTTTTTGTGGTTAAAAGGAAATATATTGATGTCCCAACGATCCTTAAGACTAGTTATATTACTGTGCAGACCGACTTAGGACCATTTAAATAAAACATTTGTAACAGTTAAAACTATACTGTACCGTACTGTAAGCCTTGTAAGGACAAATAAAGAGACTACATGTGTTTCAGCTATCATCCTCAGAAAAAATAGGGTAGGTAGTCAGTTTTTTTATTTTGGAAAATATTTTTACTTTACTTTACATAGAGCAGGAGTTTTGACTTTAACAGTGCTTATCACAAAATGCCAATAAAAACTTGAGGGTAACGTTGGGCACAAAAATCTGGAAGCAACCAGAGACGTAGAATTCTATATAAAACATGTCTCCGAGGCAACACAAGATTTTTTTTATTTTGGCTAAAGGATGTTTTATCTGTTTTTTTTTTTTATAATTACAGATTTAAATTGCTTCTTTTGGTGGAAATAATTTGGAAATAAATTGCTTCTATTGGTGGTCCTTAAACCCTGAAATATACTTCTATGCCATATAACCTTCTTTAGAAAAAACGCTTCTGTGGGTGACGGTCCTCCTACAAAAAAGTGCATTCCGGGGTGGTAGGGGTATATTTCACTGGTACATATAGTTTTTGTTTCAAACCAGAGTTGTTCAGAACAATAAAAACTGCTACTATTTGTAATATAAAGTAAAAAATTTCATTTTATGGAAAATAAAATGGTGCAAAAAACTACATTGTGTGACATACATTGCTATGGACATGTGTTGTAGGTTGTGAAGAGGCCTATAATGACCTCTGTGTATGGGGTTACACCCTATGGGGCCAGAACTCAAGTAAAACAGACTCTCAAGGAAATCCCAGGCTTTCCAGAGGAACAACTAAAGGAAGCCTCCACTTACATTGCAACGATAACATTGTCAAATCTCCAGAAAAGGTTCCAGTCTGCCAGAGCTATACAGGTATGTTGTTGCCAGAGCTATACAGGTATGTTGTTGACATGTTTATTTGATATCATAATGAATCTGCTAGGTAGATGTGCTAACACTGTTAAATCATTCACCCCTAGGAGTCTTTTAATTATAATTGTCTGCAGATCTATTCTCTAAATTACTGCTTTACTGGTCTGGATTTAGGAACTTTACTAAATGATTCTCTCTAGGAATGGTTTAACCTCGTGTCATGGACCACCAGTGCTGGCCTGAAGAAGCATGTGGAATGGAAAACCCCACTTGGGCTGCACGTTGTCCAGACCTATACCAAACAGATCCTAAAGAAAAATCCAAAAACCAAACTGACCAGGTAACTTTTGATAGCAATGCATGTGACAATTGTCATTTTTGGTAAAAAAAAATAAAAAAATATATATGTAATGCTTATCATGTTTATATGATAATAGCACTTGTTTTGAATGCAGATAAATTGCTGTTTTTAGGTCACCTGAGCTTTGCTCAAGTGACCTATTCCAATCGCTTTTCGTCCGTCGTCGTCCGTCGTCCGTCGTGCGTCGTGCGTAAACTTTTACATTTTCAACTTCTTCTCAAGAACCAGTGGATGGATTTTTTTCAAACTTGGTCAGAATCATCCTTGGTAGATGAGGCTTCAAAATTGTAAAATTGGGATTCCTACCCCAACCCCTGGGGCCAGGGCGGGGCCCCAAAGGGAAAATTAATCAATATTTCAAAAATCTTCTTCTCCAGACTCAGAGGTACTACAGTGATTTTCTCTACGTGGAAAGAAAGATCATCAGGGGCTTTACTTAAATTGTAAATTTCAGGACCCCCGAGCTATCCGTTCTCCCTTGGGGAGGGGGTAAAGTTTACTATAGTTTATATAGGGAAATAACACTTTTGGGTATATTTTGACAACTTTCTGTAGGAAATTATTTTTACTTGGTGAGAATTATCCTTGGAGGTAGATGGTTTCAAATTGTAAAATTGAGATTCCTACCCCGACCCCTGGGGCCAGGGCGGGGCCCCAAAGGGAAAATTAATCAATATTTCAAAAATCTTCTTCTCCAGACTCAGAGGTACTACAGTGATTTTCTCTACGTGGAAAGAAAGATCATCAGGGGCTTTACTTAAATTGTAAATTTCAGGACCCCCGAGCTATCCGTTCTCCCTTGGGGAGGGGGTAAAGTTTACTATAGTTTATATAGGGAAATAACACTTTTGGGTATATTTTGACAACTTTCTGTAGGAAATTATTTTTACTTGGTGAGAATTATCCTTGGAGGTAGATGGTTTCAAATTGTAAAATTGAGATTCCTACCCCGACCCCTGGGGCCAGGGCGGGGCCCCAAAGGGAAAATTAATCAATATTTCAAAAATCTTCTTCTCCAGACTCAGAGGTACTACAGTGATTTTCTTTACGTGGAAAGAAAGATCATCAGGGGCTTTATTTAAATTGAAAATATCAGGACCCCGAGCTATCCGTTCTCCCTTGGGGAGGGGTTAACGTTTAATATAGTTTATATAGGGAAATAACACTTTTCGGTATATATTTTATATATTTTCAGCAGAAAATTGCTCAAACTTAGTCAGAATCATCTTGGGTAAATGAGAGTTTTACTTTGTAAAATTAGGATTCCTGCCCCATCCCCAGGGGCTAGAGCGGGGCCCCAAAGGAAACATTTACCAATATTTTCAAATTCTTATCCATTGATGACATGACAAGTATTGTATTTCACTTAGTTTACATGCTGATTTCCACATCACATCTAAACAATAAAATAAAGCTACCAGTATCTATGATATAACTCAGGTGACCGCTAAGGCCCTTGGGCCTCTTGTTTTGCTTACTGTTAACGAATCTGTTTTGTATGTCACAGGAGGATAAAAATGCCTGACAACAGAAAACAAAGTAATAGTTTTCCACCAAACTATATCCATTGCCTGGATTCAGTACACATGATACTGACAGCTCTACATTGTATGAAGTAAGTGTATAATGACCTTAATACACAACAAACTGTCAGGATTTTCAAATGAAGGTAAACTTATTTAAAAACCATTATCAAGGTCTTGATGAATCTGCATCACACACAAAGGTGGTGCACTGTATGGTGTTTTAGTCACCTTGACCTTCGCATCTAGGTCAAAGGTCAGATAAGCACAAAACAAATAGGCATAATGTTTATGTCTTATAAAAGGAGATGCAAGTTTTTATTCACGAAAAAATCTATTTATTTAATAATGTTGGTTCTGATACATATTAAACCTATTTTAGATTTATCCTTGACCCTATTTTACATTACCTTGACCTATCACCATATGACCTTGTAGTTTTTGTCTGTGGCGGTTTGAGTTTCTATTAAGATTGGCCTATTGTTATTGTTATTTCTATCTGTAACCTATTTGATAATAATACTACACAGTTTAAGAACATTGTTAAGTATATATGACGTACAGAACCTGATAACAATTAAACTTGGTTTAAAAATTATTCATATTGATCCCAACGATGGAACACTTTTATCTATCAGTTACATGTTTATGCCCAACTGTATGCTTGTTCAGGAGAAAAATGTTTATGCCCAACTGTATGCTTGTTCAGGAGAAAAAAATAACATTTTTAGTTACCAATAACGTCTTGCTGGTAAGTAACAATCTACTTCACTATAAACCAGCACTAATTCTTTTCTCTCAAAAATTTCAAGAAAGGTAGATCACAATATGGTATGTGTCCAGTGAACCAGCTTATTCAAATTTATTTTATCCCCCAAATGTGACTTGCTCTGTGATTAAGCAGAGAGAAAAAAAATACCTATAGAAAATTACAAGTACATATTGTAGGAAATATTTTGACCAGCAAAAAAGTTACAGTAATGTTTTATTTACATTCATCTTGTTTGCAAGTTAATTTTGAATATCATTACTTCAAAACATGTACACAAACAAATAGCACTTTGTATCAAATTATAAAGATGCTGCATTATTGAAGTTTAATAACTGATTTTGTGGAAATATCTTCTCTTTGTACCCAAGTTTTAATCTGTTGTATAGGGAAACCTGACATTCAGCTGTGTCCAGAATTTTACTATGAGTTTCTCATTCACAGAGAAAACCTGACATTCGGCTGTGTCCAGAATTTTACTTTGAGTTTATCATTCACAGAGAAAAACCTGACATTCAGCTGTGTCCAGAATTTTACTTTGAGTTTCTCATTCACAGAGAAAACCTGACATTCAGCCGTGTCACAGAGAAAACCTGACATTCAGCTGTGTCCAGAAATTTACTTTGAGTTTCTCATTCTCAGAGAAAACCTGACATTCAGCTGTGTCCAGAATTTTACTTTGAGTATCTCATTCACAGAGAAAACCTGACATTCAGCTCTGTTCAGAATTTTACTTTGAGTTTCTCATTCACAGAGAAAACCTGACATTTAGCTGTGTCCAGAATTTTACTTTGAGTTTCTCATTGACAGAGAAAACCTGACATTCAGCTGTGTCACAGAGAAAACCTGACATTCAGCTCTGTCCAGAATTTTACTTTGAGTTTCTCATTCACATAGAAAACCTGACATTCAGCTGTGTCCAGAATTTTCCTTTGAGTTTCTCATTCACAGAGAAAACCTGACATTCGGCTGTGTCCAGAATTTTACTTTGAGTTTATCGTTCACAGAGAAAAACCTGACATTCAGCTGTGTCCAGAATTTTACTATGAGTTTCTCATTCACAGAGAAAACCTGACATTCGGCTGTGTCCAGAATTTTACTTTGAGTTTCTCATTGACAGAGAAAACCTGACATTCAGCTGTGTCACAGAGAAAACCTGACATTCAGCTGTGTCCAGAATTTTACTATGAGTTTCTCATTCACAGAGAAAACCTGACATTCAGCCGTGTCACAGAGAAAACCTGACATTCAGCTGTGTCCAGAATTTTCCTTTGAGTTTCTCATTCACAGAGAAAACCTGACATTCGGCTGTGTCCAGAATTTTACTTTGAGTTTATAATTCACAGAGAAAAACCTGACATTCAGCTGTGTCCAGAATTTTACTTTGAGTTTCTCATTCACATAGAAAACCTGACATTCAGCTGTGTCCAGAATTTTCCTTTGAGTTTCTCATTCACAGAGAAAACCTGACATTTAGCTGTGTCCAGAATTTTACTTTGAGTTTCTCATTCACATAGAAAACCTGACATTCAGCTGTGTCCAGAATTTTACTTTGAGTATCTCATTCACAGAGAAAACCTGACATTCAGCTCTGTTCAGAATTTTACTTTTAGTTTCTCATTCACAGAGAAAACCTGACATTTAGCTGTGTCCAGAATTTTACTTTGAGTTTCTCATTCTCAGAGAAAACCTGACATTCAGCTCTGTCCAGAATTTTACTTTGAGTTTCTTATTCCCAGAGAGAACCTGACATTCAGCTGTGTTCAGAACTTTACTTTGAGTTTCTCATTCACAGAGAGAACCTGACATTCAGCTCTGTCCAGAATTTTACTTTGAGTTTCTCATTCACATAGAAAACCTGACATTCAGCTGTGTCCAGAATTTTACTGTGAGTTTCTCATTCACAGAGAAAACCTGACATTTAGCTGTGTCCAGAATTTTACTTTGAGTTTCTCATTGACAGAGAAAACCTGACATTCAGCTGTGTCACAGAGAAAACCTGACATTCAGCTCTGTCCAGAATTTTACTTTGAGTTTCTCATTCACATAGAAAACCTGACATTCAGCTGTGTCCAGAATTTTCCTTTGAGTTTCTCATTCACAGAGAAAACCTGACATTCAGCTGTGTTCAGAACTTTACTTTGAGTTTCTCATTCACAGAGAGAACCGCTGTGTTCAGAATTTTACTTTGAGTTTCTTATTCACAGAGAAAACCTGACATTCAGCTCTGTTCAGAATTTTACTTTGAGTTTCTCATTCACAGAGAAAACCTGACATTCAGCCGTGTCACAGAGAAAACCTGACATTCAGCTGTGTGCAGAATTTTACTTTGAGTTTCTCATTCACAGAGAGAACCGCTGTGTTCAGAATTTTACTTTGAGTTTCTTATTCACAGAGAAAACCTGACATTCAGCTCTGTTCAGAATTTTACTTTGAGTTTCTCATTCACAGAGAAAACCTGACATTTAGCTGTGTCCAGAATTTTACTTTGAGTTTCTCATTGACAGAGAAAACCTGACATTCAGCTGTGTCACAGAGAAAACCTGACATTCAGCTGTGTGCAGAATTTTACTTTGAGTTTCTCATTCACAGAGAAAACCTGACATTCAGCCGTGTCACAGAGAAAACCTGACATTCAGCTGTGTCCAGAATTTTCCTTTGAGTTTCTCATTCACAGAGAAAACCTGACATTTAGCTGTGTCCAGAATTTTACTTTGAGTTTCTCATTCACAGATAAAACCTGACATTCAGCTCTGTTCAGAATTTTACTTTGAGTTTCTCATTCACAGAGAGAACCGCTGTGTTCAGAATTTTACTTTGAGTTTCTTATTCACAGAGAGAACCTGACATTCAGCTGTGTTCAGAACTTTACTTTGAGTTTCTCATTCACAGAGAGAACCTGACATTCAGCTCTGTCCAGAATTTTACTTTGAGTTTCTCATTCACATAGAAAACCTGACATTCAGCTGTGTCCAGAATTTTACTTTGAGTTTCTCATTCTCAGAGAAAACCTGACATTCAGCTCTGTCCAGAATTTTACTTTGAGTTTCTTATTCACAGAGAGAACCTGACATTCAGCTGTGTTCAGAACTTTACTTTGAGTTTCTCATTCACAGAGAGAACCTGACATTCAGCTCTGTCCAGAATTTTACTTTGAGTTTCTCATTCACAGAGAGAACCTGACTTTCAGCTCGGTACATGATTGTTTCTGGACGCATGCTTGTGATGTAGATGTCATGAACAAGGTAAGCACACTTAACTTCGTTGTTTATACTGAACCAGTGTAATGGTATTTTCCACACTTTGTGTTGATAACAAGGGAATATTTATACCTGTGGTTTGAAGTTAACTTAATTGATGGACATACTTGTGGTTTGAAGTTAAGTTAATTGATGGACATACCTGTGGTTTGAAGTTAAGTTAATTGATGGACATACCTGTGGTTTGAAGTTAACTTAATTGATGGTCCTGGACGCCTCTATGTCCATATCTAATTTACAACTTGGAATTGATCCACATCTCTTAAAAATTCTCAAATCCATTCTTTTATTACAGTATGTGTACAAAAGCTTCAGAAAAAAATGCTATCTTAAAAGTTAAATTCATAATAGTATACAACAGAATTAAACCTAGAAAGTTAATGATTTGTAGATTAGAAATTCTAGAAGTATGATCATTTTTCTTTGGCAAGATGGCCCACAGACGCCATATACAAGACCTTCTGATTCTTTATCAGTTCGTTTTCCTTTTCTGTCTGCTGTTTTGTGAGATCATTTCATAACTGTATGGTGGAATATTTCTGATGAAGTCCATTTCTGTTTTAACTATCATGAGTTTAATCAATAATTAAGGATCCTTGTACCACTGCCAAACTGTAACTAACCATTGGAAACTTCTCCGACACGAATGTAGCTTTGGTCAATCATTTCTGAAAAGAAAACAATACCTTGTGGGAAATTTATGAAAAAATAATAAGGAAGAAATAGACAAAATATAATTAACAACAGTGTTGTGAGTGTGAAAATTATAACAAACAAGTGTTGTGAGTGTGAACATTATAATAAACAAGTGTTGTGAGTGTGAAAATTATAATAAACAAGTGTTGTGAGTGTGAAAATTATAATAAACAAGTATTGTGAGTGTGAACATTATGATTAACAAGTGTTGTGCATGTGAAAATTATAATAAACAACAGTGTTGTGAGTGTGAAAATTATAACAAACAAGTGTTGTGAGTGTGAAAATTATAATAAACAAGTATTGTGAGTGTGAACATTATGATAAACAAGTGATGTGAGTGTGAACATTATAATAAACAACAGTGTTGTGAGTGTGAAAATTATAATAAACAAGTGTTGTGAGTGTTAAAATTATAATAAACAAGTGTTGTGAGTGTGAACATTATAACAAACAAGTGTTGTGAGTGTGAAAATTATAACAAACAAGTGTTGTGAGTGTTAAAATTATAACAAACAAGTGTTGTGAGTGTGAACATTATAATAAACAAGTATTGTGAGTGTGAACATTATGATTAACAAGTGTTGTTCATGTGAAAATTATAATAAACAACAGTGTTGTGAGTGTGAAAATTATAATAATGTTAAGGGGAGGTTACTGTATATACTAAAGCCCACAGTGCCATTGGGCACAGATCCTCAATTATGTTATTTCTGTTTGTCAGTTTTCTGTTATTTAAACTATTTCTGCGTTGTTGTTTTTTTAACAGATTTGTCGAGAGCAGTTTGTAGCACTTCACAGTCAGCCTTTGCTGCAGCAATTATCCGAGTACATGTTGGAGGCACATGAAGAGGAGCTGAAGATGTAAGAGTTGTCGCTTATTCTGTAGTAGCAATGTGTTGTCCCCGCAATTGTTACAGTTCCCCCATGTAATTACTGGTGTTCTTATCAGGAACCTATTTGTCACAAAGTTCTGCTTTATAGCCAGTCTGTTTACTGTAATTACACCTTTAGTATACATCCTACTTAGAATCACAATAATTAAATAACAAATCCTGTTTTTTCTGGACCCCTCTTCAATGTTCAGAATTATAAAAGATTGTATTTATCAATATGTCTTTGTATGTTTTCAGACGTGAGGGTATGAGTGATGAGAAGAAACAAGAACTGAAGCAATATGCAGAGGTGTTAAAACCGACAGAAATCAAACAAGGTAGGTTTGGTTTACCTGTGGTAAGGATAAGCTTCCTATTAATATTGATTTTAATAATAGTTGTAATAATAATAATTCAAGGTTCTCATTTACCGCTTTATCACAATCTAGTGCGTAGGTCGTCTCAAAGCAGATCACAAAATATTATCCTTGGTTAAAGGGCCTTTGCAACCAGCCAATATCTTTCTCAACTCCCTGGGGAGCATACAGCCGGTGCTGCCATTTCGGCGCTCACAGCTAGCATTCTACATTTCTAGCACTGCCCAACTACGTACTCATTTACAGCTGAGTAGACTGGAACAAGCAGAGTAAAGTATCTTGTCCAAAGATACCACAAATTGCCATCACGGGACTCGAACCTGCAACCCCTCGGCAACGAGCCTGGCATCCTACTACTAGACTACCGTGCCTATTTAGGCAACCTGACTTTGGAAATCACATTTTATATATTTACCCCTAGGGTGTATGTACACATTTTATATATTTACCCCTAGGGTGTATGTACACATTTTATATATTTTACCCCTAGGGTGTATGTACACATTTTATATATTTTACCCCTAGGGTGTATGTACACATTTTATATATTTTACCCCTAGGGTGTATGTACACATTTTATATATTTTACCCCTAGGGTGTATGTACACATTTTATATATTTTACCCCTAGGGTGTATGTACACATTTTATATATTTTACCCCTAGGGTGTATGTACACATTTTATATATTTTACCCCTAGGGTGTATGTACACATTTTATATATTTTACCCCTAGGGTGTATGTACACATTTTATATATTTTACCCCTAGGGTGTATGTACACATTTTATATATTTTACCCCTAGGGTGTATGTACACATTTTATATATTTTACCCCTAGGGTGTATGTACACATTTTATATATTTTACCCCTAGGGTGTATGTACACATTTTATATATTTTACCCCTAGGGTGTATGTACACATTTTATATATTTTACCCCTAGGGTGTATGTACACATTTTATATATTTTACCCCTAGGGTGTATGTACACATTTTATATATTTTACCCCTAGGGTGTATGTACACATTTTATATATTTTACCCCTAGGGTGTATGTACACATTTTATATATTTTACCCCTAGGGTGTATGTACACATTTTATATATTTTACCCCTAGGGTGTATGTACACATTTTATATATTTTACCCCTAGGGTGTATGTACACATTTTATATATTTTACCCCTAGGGTGTATGTACACATTTTATATATTTTACCCCTAGGGTGTATGTACACATTTTATATATTTTACCCCTAGGGTGTATGTACACATTTTATATATTTTACCCCTAGGGTGTATGTACACATTTTATATATTTTACCCCTAGGGTGTATGTACACATTTTATATATTTTACCCCTAGGGTGTATGTACACATTTTATATATTTTACCCCTAGGGTGTATGTACACATTTTATATATTTTACCCCTAGGGTGTATGTACACATTTTATATATTTTACCCCTAGGGTGTATGTACACATTTTATATATTTTACCCCTAGGGTGTATGTACACATTTTATATATTTTACCCCTAGGGTGTATGTACACATTTTATATATTTTACCCCTAGGGTGTATGTACACATTTTATATATTTTACCCCTAGGGTGTATGTACACATTTTATATATTTTACCCCTAGGGTGTATGTACACATTTTATATATTTTACCCCTAGGGTGTATGTACATATTTTATATATTTTACCCCTAGGGTGTATGTACATATTTTATATATTTTACCCCTAGGGTGTATGTATCTCCCTCATCGAAATTTCAAAAAGTTGGCGAGTATATCACCCAACCACTTCAGTAAAGGTACCGTTACATTTCTATTAAAAGCTATTAGAATGTTAGTTTACTGTACAAGACTCTCAATCCTTTCAGGACTTTGATCAAGAATGCTAACAAAACTTCATAAAATACAAGAAGAATATTACAAACCACGAAGACGTTATCAAGTCTATAATTATTAATTCTTTTCTGTACTAGGCTTTGCAATCATTATTAATTCTTTATTTCAGGTGATTTTGACCTTGCGCAAGTGCTGGAATCTGAGTACTTCTTCAGTTAGTGTTACCTGCCCTTCTTGAACAAGGACGTTGCACGAAGTTGGACTACCTCTGAAAACCTGCGCGTGTAGCTGCTGTGGCTTCAAACTCGATCATAGAAATCGGTTTGGATCCACATCCTGGAGTCTTTGGAATATTGTGTTGGTTAACCCTTTCATTACTGTAGACCATAATTGACTCATCCAGATAAATGTATGGTAGAGTCTACTAAAGTTACCTAGGGGTGAAAGGGTTAAGAGACAGTTTCACAATGTGCAACACAGCCAACATAAAACCTGTTTCTTACATCCCAGGGAACAGCCAATGGAAGTCTGTAGCTGTTAGTCTACTTACGCTGAACATCATATTAATGAGTGGGGTGAAGATTTGTTTCCAAGTAATTGTGTTTTGTTAGAATCTACAGTCACATGGAATGATACTTTGTAAGTGCCACATACTTGGTTTTGATTGGCTGTCCCTGTGTCTTTCTTAGCCAATGAGATAAAAGACTCCTTAGGTACATTGTTCATTCCTAGTCACTCAGCTCATTCCTATTTGTGCCAAACTTTGTGATTTGTTGGTAATATTACTGCCATCAAAATTTGTTCATTGATAAATACACAGATACACAGATTTTATTCTGACTATAGGAATGTTTACATTTCCTCTGCTGTCAGCTCTGTTATATAAATAAAAGCTGGTTGATATTATTGGTAATAACATAATTTTTGATTATTTTGCAAGTCCATTGCTGAAAATGTCACAGCTCTGTAATTGTGTAAAATGTACTATATGTGGGTCAAAACACTGGATCTTTAGAAACGTGCGTTTGGTGGTACAAACTACTTACAATTGGTAGGGCAGGGAAGTAATTCCAACAGTGTAGGCAATATAAGGTTGTCAGATGTTCAGAGCAATGGCGCCTTTATCTAGGTCGTAACATTTACCTGTGTCTTGATTAAGGAGCAGATGGCTTCAAATATAAACAATCTGAATTGTCTACACTTATTTCTTAACATTTTCTTTAGGTTGGTAAATATGGATTGTGAAACGATTGATGTAGCACAACCAATAAGTGTTTATATGTGACGTTTCGATGACTAATACGGTATGTACTCTGTCACTTTCATCAGACAAATGACCGGTGAAGCGTATGTTCACGAAGGTGTAAAATATTGTCTACACTTTTCCTTGCCCGTATATATGTCATTAAGTGTCTGCATAGAATATTTCTTGTCTACAAAATTATATTTTAAAAAGGTTTATTCCAGATGTAGACTTTAAGATAAGTAATTTATGAAGTGGACCCATGAAATAAGAGCATGCTATTCTTGATATATTGTTATTTATTCTCCGAAACTGCAATTTTTAGCTCCGCCTACAATTTGGCACAAGTGCGTTCATTTATCAGGAATATTTCTGCGCCACCTGAAACATTCTAACTGGGATATGCGAATGCGACCCTAGTGTCTTATCTGTGTCTATGGGTCACTTCAGCCTCAGTCAGCTCTTTCACTTTTCATTTTATTGCTACAAAACGCTATACAATATTCATGTATTCAGCAAACAAAAACTTTAAACCTGTTCAAATTTTTCGGGTCATGGATCCAAGGTTAAGGTTGTTGTTACTATAAAAAGATAATCATCATTATCACTACGCGGCTTTATTTTCATATTTGGATAATGCACAAGTATATATTGGAACAAGTTTGGGTTTCAGGACCTGGACCCAAATTTTACAAAGAGAAGAAATGCAACTGATCATCGTTGATTTTGGTTAAAGTTTGGTGCTAGTGTAGAAATTTGCTAATACAAATTCAGTTTTTGTACCAAGATGTTTCTTCAGGGTCCCGGGCTCCAACATTGATGTATAGTGGTGTCAAAACAAATTTTTTTTTTTTTTTTTTTTTCAGGTATTTGACCCGTTTCAAACTGAACTGTTTTTGCCAAAACTCTTAACAGTTCTTGTTTTTTAATTGTGTGGCTTTATGATTTCTCATTATACTGGGATCTTCTTAATTCTCTGTCATAACAAAACAAGCTTCTTACTATTAGATTGGAGTTGTGATTTAGTTACATATTGTCAAGTACATACGTACAAACAAATGTCTGTGATAGTTAGTTTCGTCGTGTTTTTGTTTGCAGATTTGACAGGACAGGGCTTTTTCTGGGGTCTTTTGGAGCCGAAAGTTGGCCATGTTCACAGTGAAAAATGTATTCATTATTACAACAACAAAAAATCTCTTTAGAATTTCCCTACCTTCAAAAAAATGTAATTCTCTGCTTGTATTCCAATGACAAAGAAAGCAGTGTCTAAAATGAAATAACATTTCATAAATAATCGTTTAGTAGTCTTTTAGATGATTCTTTGTTAAAATAAAGATGAGAATTAAAAAATAATTAAATCAAATAATTCCCAATCATAAATCTACTGACCCTTTTTTTTCCACAAAGTGAGAAAAAGCCCTGTAGGACAATGTGCAGCCAGTAAATTTAATTTGCATGCCATAAAGCTGTGTTTGTCATGTGTTACACAAGTGGTTACTCATACAGGATAAATTATGTAGAATGATTTCAAATGATCTTCCTGTGTCCAATTTATAGCCACTGTATAACCCTGTGGTTATCTGTCTTTGTTCTGTTAACTGTTCTTAACAGAATCATTGGAGCAGCCGTTGACTTTTCATTGATTATTATTTTATACTTCAACATTGGTGTATCATACATGTACTTGGTAGTGAAGGTAGAGAGTTCCACCACTTATCATACATGGACTTGCTAGTGAAGATAGAGAGTTCCACCACTCATCATACATGTACTTGGTAGTGAAGGTAGAGAGTTCCACCTCTCATCATACATGGACTTGGTAGTGAAGGTAGATTGTTCCACCACTTATCATACATGGACTTGGTAGTGAAGGGAGAGAGTTCCACCACTTATCATACATGGACTTGGTAGTGAAGGTAGATTGTTCCACCACTTATCGTACATGTACTTGGTAGTGAAGGTAGAGAGTTCCACCACTCATTATACATGGACTTGGTAGTGAAGGTAGATTGTTCCACCACTTATCGTACATGTACTTGGTAGTGAAGGTAGAGAGTTCCACCTCTCATCATACATGGACTTGGTAGTGAAGGTAGAGAGTTCCACCACTTATCCTACATGTATATGGTAGTGAAGGTAGAGAGTTCCACCACTTATCATATATGGACTTGGTAGTGAAGGTAGAGAGTTCCACCACTTATCATACAGGTACTTGGTAGTGAAGGTAGAGAGTTCCACCACTTATCATATATGGACTTGCTAGTGAAGATAGAGAGTTCCACCACTCCTCATACATGTACTTGGTAGTGAAGGTAGAGAGTTTCACCACTTATCATACATGGACTTGGTAGTGAAGGGAGAGAGTTCCACCACTTATCATACATGGACTTGTTAGTGAAGGTAGAGAGTTCCGCCACTTATCATACATGTACTTGGTAGTGAAGGTAGAGAGTTCCACCACTTATCCTACATGTATATGGTAGTGAAGGTAGAGAGTTCCACCACTTATCATACATGTACTTGGTATTGAAGGTAGAGAGTTCCACCACTTATCATACATGGTCTTGCTAGTGAAGATAGAGAGTTCCACCACTCATCATACATGTACTTTGTAGTGAAGGTAGAGAGTTCCACCACTTATCATATATGGACTTGGTAGTGAAGGTAGAGAGTTCCACCACTCATCATACATGTACTTTGTAGTGAAGGTAGAGAGTTCCACCACTTATCATACAGGTACTTGGTAGTGAAGGTAGAGAGTTCCACCACTTATCCTACATGTATATGGTAGTGAAGGTAGAGAGTTCCACCACTTATCATATATGGACTTGCTAGTGAAGATAGAGAGTTCCACCACTCATCATCCATGTACTTGGTAGTGAAGGTAGAGAGTTCCACCTCTCATCATACATGGACTTGGTAGTGAAGGTAGATTGTTCCACCACTTATCGTACATGTACTTGGTAGTGAAGGTAGAGAGTTCCACCTCTCATCATACATGGACTTGGTAGTGAAGGTAGAGAGTTCCACCACTTATCATATATGGACTTGGTAGTGAAGGTAGAGAGTTCCACCACTTATCCTACATGTATATGGTAGTGAAGGTAGAGAGTTCCACCACTTATCCTACATGTATATGGTAGTGAAGGTAGAGAGTTCCACCACTTATCATACAGGTACTTGGTAGTGAAGGTAGAGAGTTCCACCACTCATTATACATGGACTTGGTAGTGAAGGTAGATTGTTCCACCACTTATCGTACATGTACTTGGTAGTGAAGGTAGAGAGTTCCACCACTTATCATATATGGACTTGGTAGTGAAGGTAGAGAGTTCCACCACTCATTATACATGGACTTGGTAGTGAAGGTAGATTGTTCCACCACTTATCATACATGTACTTGGTAGTGAAGGTAGAGAGTTCCACCACTTTTCTATTGTATGCAGGCCTCTAACACTTATTTTCCTCTTACATTTATGTTATTTGTTTACATTAAAGTCAATAATAGGTGACAATTGTTTTTAGGAAGTTAGAACAGCTGAAAGTATAAAGCAGTATATTTCAGTATAAACATTAGTACCACGATCAGTAGTCCAGTGGCTATGTTCCCAGCTTTATCAATGTCAGCAGATCAAATCCCAGTATCAGTTTCTGTGAAATAGGAAAAATGACATTGAATATTTTTGCATGAAATAATTATTTTCTGTAATAAATGAGCAAGCAACTCAAAGTAAAACTGGCAAAATTAGAACTCTTCTGGGCAAGTAACTCAGAGTGAAAAAAAGCAAAATTAGAACTCTTCTGGGCAACTAACTCGGAGTGAAAAAAGGCAAAATTAGATCTCTTCTGGGCAAGAAACTCAGAGTGAAAAAAGGCAAAATTAGAATTCTTCTGGGCAAGTAATTCAGAGTGAAAAAAAGCAAAATTAGAACTCTTCTGGGCAACTAACTCGGAGTGAAAAAAGGCAAAATTAGAACTCTTCTGGGCAAGTAACTCTGAGGAACTCTTCTTTTTAGATATAACGTAGAACAATGTGACTCTCTACCTTAAGAAAACATTGTTGGAACTTATTCATAAGTATAAATTACTGTATGCAAATAGAACAATTTTTTAACAAAGAAATAGATAAACTATGATATCTCAATGGAGAAATTACCACTTGTAAGAAATACTTAACATACAGGGCTGTCTATAACGTAAGTATGTACATATCATGTGGTCAGTGAATGTGTATCGATGTAATTTAAGTAGATCCCTTGAGTTTAGGAATATTGTATAGGTGAGGCTATACTGAGCCGAAGTACAAACATCATCCTTACAGTTTAAAGACTTGAAATATCTGTAGTGTGAAGAAGATAACGAAAAGTATATAATGTTTTATATGTTTATTAACTTGTGTGCTGTGATATGTTTATCTAGAGTATTAAATATAGGAGAAAAGTACCAATGTCACATGTAAATATGTGATCCGAGTATTTATAGAACTAACAAAAATGAGGTTGTTATTGTCATATTATTATTTTTTCATCTTTCATTCAAACTGTTACAAAGATTTGATATATTATCAAATCAAGTTCATTAATTTCAAACTTTTGAAAAAATCAAATTTATTGCCAAAATCCTATGTACTGCACTAGATTTGTTACAGGTTTGTTTATCAGATGATTTAGTTTGTAATGGTGTTAATTTACTAAAGTAATCAGGTTATTTTGTTTAAAAACTCACGATAAATTTAGAGCTGCAAAAGCAGCGGCTACAGAGTGTTGGAAAAATGAGTGAGTTTGTGTATGTAAAGGAACATTTGTGTAACTAGTACTGGAGACACACAGTCCATTACAGGACAACACTAGTTACCTAGTACTGGAGACACACGCCCCATAACAGAACAACACTATTTAACTAGTACTGGAGACATTACAGGACAATAGTAGTTAACTAGTACTGGAGGCACACAGTCCATTACAGGACACCAGTAGTTAACTAGTACTGGAAACACACAGTCCATTACAGGCCAACAGTAGTTAACTAGTTCTGGAGACACACAGTCCATGACAGGACAACACAAGTTAACTAGTACTGGAGACATTACAGGACAATAGTAGTTAACTAGTACTGGAAACACACAGTCCATTACAGGCCAACAGTAGTTAACTAGTACTGGAAACACACAGTCCATTACAGGACACCAGTAGTTAACTAGTACTGTAGACACACGGTCCATAACAGGACAACACTAGGTAACTAGGACTGGAGACACACAGTCCAGTCCAGGACAACAGTAGTTAACTAGTCCTGGAGACACACAGTCCATTGCAGGACAAGACTAGTTAACTAGTACTGGCGACACACAGTCCATTACAGGCCAACAGTAGTTAACTAGTTCTGGAGACACACAGTCCATGACAGGACAACACAAGTTAACTAGTACTGGAGACCCACAGGCCATTACAGGACAACACTAGTTAACTTAACTAGTACTGGAGACACCCAGTCCATTACAGGACAACGCTAGTTAACTAGTATGAGACACATGCACAGTCAATTACAGGACATCATTAGTTAACTAGTACTGGAGACTCTCGGTCCATAACAGGACAACACTAGTTCACTAGTACTGGAGACACACAGGACAACAGTAGTTAACTAGTCCTGGAGACACACAGTCCATCACAGGACAACAGTAGTTAACTAGAAGTGGAGACACACAGTCCATTGCAGGACAACACTAGTTAACTTAACTAGTACTGGAGACACCCAGTCCATTACAGGACAACCCTAGTTAACTAGTACTGAAACACATGTACAGTCCATTACATGACAACACTGGTTAACTAGTACTGTAGACACACAGTCCATTACAGGCCAACAGTAGTTAACTAGTACTGGAAACACACAGTCCATTACAGGCCAACAGTAGTTAACTAGTTCTGGAGACACACAGTCCATTAAAGGACAACACTAGTTAACTTAACTAGTACTGGAGACATTACAGGACAACAGTAGATAACTAGTACTGGAGACACACAGGACAACAGGAGTTAACTAGTACTGGAGACCCACAGTCCATTGCAGGACAACACTAGTTAACTTAACTAGTACTGGAGACATTACAGGACAACAGTAGATAACTAGTACTGGAGACACAAAGTCCATTGCAGGACAACACTAGTTAACTAGTATGAGACACATGCACAGTCCATTACAGGACAATACTAGTTAACTAGTACTGGAGACCCACAGTCCATTACAGGACAACCCTAGTTAACTAGTACTGGAGACACCCAGTCCATTACAGGACAACACAAGTTAACTAGTACTGGAGACCCACAGTCCATTACAGGACACCAGTAGTTAACTAGTACTGTAGACACACGGTCCATAACAGGACAACACTAGATAACTAGTACTGGAGACACCCAGTCCATTACAGGACAACACTAGTTAACTAGTACTGGAGACACACGGTCCATAACAGGACAACACTAGTTAACTAGTACTGGAGACACACAGTCCATTACAGGACAACACTAGTTAACTAGTATGAGACACATGCACAGTCCATTACAGGACAACACTAGTTAACTAGTACTGAAACACATGTACAGTCCATTACAGGACAACACTAGTTAACTAGTCATGGAGACACAGTCCATTACAGGACAACAGTAGGTAATTATGTGTAGTAATCAGTTCTCTTTTACAAAAGAAGCAAAAACTGACTTGATTTTATATCAATTTGATATATGAATACATTGGTGTTTTTCTTGAAACAGTTAACTCATTCACCCCTGAAATTTCATAATGAACTATTCAAACCTTTGAATTGGAACATTGTGAACACCAATATACTATTGAGTCAGTATATTAACACTGTACACAGCCGTCATTGATTTATGTCGTTCTCTGATAATTACCGAGTTTAGATCATAAGTAAAGCACATGTTGTATTATAGCATTATACACATCTTTTACAGTAAGTCCTACACATGCAGTTGAAGCTATACAACATAAAA